ACCGTGGCTCACATGGCTTCCCCCCTTCACGATCCGACTTAGGCGGTGAGCAAGGCGCAAGACACCATCCAGGGCTTGACCTTCCCGCAGGCCGTCTTCAGCAGGCGGGAGATCCTTTCCTCGTGACCGCCCTGACAAATGGCGGGGATTTTTGGGGAACAGCACCTGCTTCAAAAGTTCGTACGGCTCTTCCAGGGGGTTTTGAGCCCCACCCAGATTCATTATGGGAAATGGGTTTAGGTGCCCGCTTGAAAGTGATATGCTCCCCCATGAGTTTGCACGGCGTGTTTTTTTGGTGCCAGCGTTTTTGGACGGGGGCTTGTGTTCCGTTGGTTTCTCTTTAATGCAACTCCAAAACGGGTACCTCTGGAATTTGGCAGCGGGCTTTGTTTTTATGCAGGAGGCGGTTTCCGTTTGGTTATCAAGGGATTCTGCTTAAGTCAGGCTTTTGTTTTTGGTTGTTTCTCCCTTTGGCCCATCAAACAATCCCCAAGCGAGTGCCACCTCCTGGACATGTTTACGCATTTGGATCCTTTGGGTCAAGGCCCCTTTTTTGGTCTTGGATAGCAAGTGAAGGTCACCCACCCATGAAATTGGAATGGATACCAAGGTTGGTCATCCGCGCTCCGCACCTTGCTGCGGGATTTGCGGGCGTCAGGTGGCCAGTGTGGGAGCTGATGGCGCACTTGTCCCACGCACCGCCACGAGGCAGATCGGGGGACGGTAATGCATCCCTCTTGTGGAACATGTCGACAGCCATAGTGTTTGCAGAATGTCAGAGTTGTCTATCAGGCTGCCTTTGCAGCGCGACATCACACTGCTGAGACGAGTTTGGTCCTGCATGATAGTAGTTTGCAATTGCTGACGGAAGACCGTGTGCACCAACCTGCTTTCGGCAATCGCCTGCACGTGGAGTGCGTGGAGGCAAGTCTCCTGTTAACTGTGTTGTTCCGTGGGATGAAGCTCAACCGTTGATCCTGACATTGGAATCAGGGGGGTTTGACCCGCTTCTTTATCTTCGCCATTCAAGGGAAACCAACCATATTTGATGGCATTCCTCAAGACCGACCGAGCGACCGATGAACCAGCTTGCCTATTGCACAGGTGGCTGCCTGAAAACGGGCTTTTCACACGCAGACCTGGCGGGTTTCCTAACATCTTCCCCTAAAATCCGTGTCGGGTCTGCCAGGCCTTACCAAAGACCTGGAGGTGTCCTCCTGCCTCAGCTTTGAGCCGTGCAAGCGAACGGTGGCCTTTTACAAGCAGCGCCTCGGCGGTTTCTTTGGGTCAGCTGGAGGTGGGTAGAGGGCTTCCCCTCGGGTTTTTTGAGAGAGCCGGAAGCAAGCCGCTTTTGACACACTCGAATTTTGCGAACATTCGTGTTGGGGTGCAAGCAGGTTGGAAAGTTGGAGACGGTTCGTACTTGTCAGGAAAAGAGAAGGGCTGGGCGTGCTATTGCTGGGTGCTTTGCAAGCCTAGCTGAATGCACATGAGCCTTTGTTCAAAGAAAGGGAGCTCGTTGGGAACCTACAGTATCAAACAGAAAGGGGGGAAAAGGTGCCACTGAACATTTGGGCAACAGTACGCTCCCGAAAACATTGCCAGCGGCTCACATGTAGCGCCCCGCAAAATTGCTCGACCGCCGTGTTTGCAGGGTCACCGTGCCAGGGTTGGGTCTGCCCAAACTCCAAACTGCGCAGATGTTCGGCGCATCCAAGTGTCCCGTGTCCTTCTGGAGAAGAACGAGCCGTTTCCAGTCGGTTCATTGTGGCCATGGGCGAGTCTTGGAAGTGCCAATGGTTGGATCCGGCTCCTTGAGCCGCGCACCGGTTTCTTGAAGAATGACATTTTTTTAGCCAGGAACCCCCAGAAATTTATAAGCCAAATGGCCAACAGCTCAAAGAAGGTCACTGCACAAGCCATTTGACAGTCGTCGGGAGTCCTGGAATGCGTTCAAGTCGCTTGTTGCAAAGTCTCATTGTCATGTGGATCACAACGGTCATCTACTTTCACCCGGAGCAGGTTGGTCAGCTCCTTTCCCATTCGACTCGACGGGCACCGCAAAGCGTTCGTTCAGGCGGCGGATTGAGTCAGCGCCTCGACTTCGGAGCCGGTTCTTGCGAATGGATCTGAGAGCAAAGGAAAAGGGGATGCTTCATAGGGATTCATAGCTTCCGTGACCAGAAAGAGTGAAGAATATGACGCCTTCAGGGCGCCAGAATCAACTCTGTGGACAGCTTTCCGGTCAGACTCTCGAGCACAACTGTCTCAATATTCGAAATGACCCCTGGCAGGGTTGGCTTTCTTTTTGGTGTCCATCGCGAGACCACCTAAAGGGGGGGGGTTCCCAAAACGGGGCACACCAATTTTCTCTGAACATGAGCATGCCACCGCACGCTCCTCGGTATGTGCCGTAACACCCTTTGTATTACAAGGGTGATCTCCACAAATGGACGTGCACAGTTTCCTCTTCTTGGGGTCGGTTCTATTAGAAACTTCACTTAAGCCCAGGGGCTTTTCCTAAAACGCTGTGCGTTTTGCATACGTGATTGGACGTCAATTACATGCCCAATTTGTACGAATTACACGCCACCCATTTCGCCCGTGACTAGCCAAGGAATGCGAGGGTTAGGCTTAAACTCTGGAACCCGTGCCTAAGACCAAAAGGGGACCGACTAACAACTACTATGCCAAAGACTCCTTCATAAAAGTGGCCCCCAAAGGGTCAAAACCAACGGTACCATTTTGGGGTAGGCGCCCCACCCATTTTAGAACCTATTTTAGTGGGGATTGGGATGTTTTAGTGGGGGTACGATTGGGATTTTGACCCATGGCCATTTGTCTGTTCAAACTCGCGTGTTGTTAATCAACCCGTCCCATTGTTTGCAGGGGGTTCCCTCCAAAAGTGGTCTGAATCCCCACTAAAACCAGGGACACCCCCCGTATTAATCAACCAGTTCTGCTTAATCCGGGCTGAACATTATGCCACTAGTCCATAGGGAGTGGGATGTTCACTGGGGGTTCAGGATTTTGATTTTGACCCATGACCATAGGCGTGGGTCAAGAAAAGGTACCCAGAATGCAACCCTGGCAAATGGAAGCATGGACCAACACCTGCGGTCCATATTTTTTGGTGCACTGGTGGTCACATTTTGGCCCATGACCCATGGCCCATGCGCGGAATTCTTGGTTTGGCCCATGGCCACCTCCTCAGACGGCGACGACTTCGGCTTCCGGAGGCTTCTGGCGCCGGGGCTGCGTTGCCCGCCGCCCTCCGAGAAGCTGCGGCTCGCCTACAGCGCGACGCACAGCGGGGCGGGAGGATATTTTTTTTTGTGTTTTTTTTTGAATTTTAATTTTTATTTTTTCTTCTTCTTTGCTTTCGGCAAAGAAAAAAGACGACGAGGGGAGGGGGGCGGGGGAGGTTCCCCTGGTTTTTGCCGGGCTTTTTTTGCGGGTTTTCCCGGGTTGTCCTGGGTTCTGCCTGGGTTTTCCCAGTTGTTCGTGGTTTTCCCTGGGTTTTCGTCGGGTTTTCCCCAGTTTCACTTGGTTTCGCATGGTTCCGCTGGTCTCCCGCTGGTTTCCCGCTCGCTGCTTTTTGTTTCTCTTAGTTTCTCAAGATTTCCAGTGTCTGACTTCCCGGGAAATCGTTCATGAAGCTGATGAACCCATGCGGCAGGCGGAGCATCTCACTGTTCAATCGCGCCCAAACAGATTGGCTCGGAAGGCCAATCCTAGGTTGGATTGGTTTTGGGAGGCTTCAGGGTGGGTTCTGGAGGTTCTGAGCTGTCAGGCATACTTTCCATTCTTATCGGGAACAAGCAATTTGTTGAGATCATATTAGATTTTGTTTGTTTTCTGGGAACCCTCGTTGCGGCGGCTTTTCAACGCAACACCCCGCGCTGTGCGCACCTTTGGACTGAGGCGAGGGCGTGCTGCTGCTGCGCAGCAACCTGTCCGAGGTGCAGCTCGAAGCTTCCAACCTTTCACGGCCGGAACCTTTTGGTTGGGACCATTTTCCTTTTCAAGGGACCTGGGTTTTGGGAACATCAGGTTCCATGTGAACAAGGTGGGAGGGTACGGCAGGGTGCTGATGGCTCAAGGCCATGTTATGACTCGTTCAGGAGGCCTCATCAGCAGAGGTGATTTGCTCATTGCTAGACACATGGACCTAAGAGAAGACTCCCCAAAAGCAGCTTCCTTTTCAATCAATGGTTGGGGTTCCATGTTAATCCACAGAAGAGTATTAAAAACAGTAGTTGCTCTGAGCCTGAGCCCATCGACTTTTTTCCTTCTTTTTTTTTTGGTCTTCTTCGAATTATGAAACACATGGGCCAGAATCAATCATATTGTTTTTGGTGGGGCGGAAAACCAAAAGCTGAATTTGTTGAGGGGACCCCCAAGCAAGACTCAGTAAGACTGCAAGAGAACCACCAGAAACCATAGGCTGTTGGATTTTAGACCTAATGACAAAACCTTTGCGGCAGGTGATCACAAAAACCGAATTTGCAACTCGGAGTTGGGTGTGGTTCCCCGGTTTGGTGTGACATCCGCCGCTGGGTTTTCGTTTGGGGCTCAGGGATGCGTGCTGTGAGGACTTTGTTCCGGACCAGAGAGGGATCACCTGGATCCCGGAGCCAGATCCCCAGAGGTGCGGAGCACGGATCTTCGGATGTGCGGATGCAGCTGTTGTGAACCACTGTTTGCCCAGAACCGGGACCACAGGTGGTTGTGGGAAACCTCAGGTGCCAAACATGGGGATGGTTACCACTCCACCGTTGTCTTTTTAGAAGGCTTTCTGGGTGTTCGCTGGGGTACCGGGGTTTTGACCCATAGCCAGGTGTCCTTTTTAGGTCAGGTTGTAATAGTCATCTTTTTCGGTTTCCCCAACAGTCACCCCATGTAAAGGACCCTTTGCTCTTGCGGAAAACTGGATGACCCTGGGAAAAGGAACAAAACCCATCTAAGACCTGTGGAACCCATCTATGTCCAACTGCCTGCAAATGGTCCCAGGAGCCCCGTGTTTTTTTTCTTGAAAATCACGATCCAAATCGCAACGGGGGCTACGGCTACATGGCCGTGGGTCAAAACCAATGGTGCCATTTTGGGGTAGGTTTACCACCGATTTTAGAACCTATAGTGGTTGGATTGAATCGGATGTTTTAGTCGGGGTAGGATTGGGACTACCCGTGGCCACATCTTCGGATGTTGGTGCGGGGCCAAATCAAAGAGCCGAGGCTCCGGGTCACGGACATCTCGAGGGTGGTGCAACGGATGTCCGCCGAGGACTGGACGACCGGAAGACCGGAAGACCGGCCCGGAAGAGCGGCGGCAGTCCTCAGGGTTTTGTTGGGGTCTTAGAAAGACAAATGTTTATGCCGGACTATGTAGCAGAAGCGGGAACTATATCTTTTGGAGTAGCCCAGAGGTGTGCCCAGCTTTGTTGGGAAGGCCTTTTGTAGGGAAGCAAGGGTCCCGAAACTACTCTTTTTACTCCGAATTCCCTAGGTCTTCTTGCCTGTTTAAACCTACAAACTGTCAGGTCGGATCAGTCTGGCCCAGTGATGGGTCGTTTTGATGCCTGAAGTCTCCAGCAAAAAATGGGACGACGCAAACCTCCGCCAAAATTTTGGAAGGTTCTACCTGGTTTCATTGCTTAAAAGTCCAGAACCTGAATAACATATTGTAATCAAGAGTCAAATGGGCGAAACGAGCGCTCCATGGCCCGCGGTGCGTCCGCAGCCGGCGCATGCCGCATATATTTTGCCAGGAAGTGGAGGCAACGTCCAGCTTCATCGCACGGTGAGCCCGGCGTCGGTATCGAATTCTTGTTGGAAAAGGTCTATGGGTCCACACCCAAACTGACAAATCGGGATGGGATCATCCATCCCCAAGGTGTTTTTCTCGGGTTTCGAAAGCATGGTAGTGGGGGATTGGCACATGACTGGTTCAGGCGAACTCACAAGGGACCCGCGCGTTTTGGCAAATGGAACAGCTGGGGTTACGGCGTTTTTGGTTCCGTTTGCCAAGGTGCCATGTTAGTACATGTTTTTGAGCCACAGCTAGCTGGGGACGTTTGGATTTTGCCCACAAAGCAGTTGGAGCGCTAAAGAAGAGGATGCTCCAAATCAGACGGATGTGGTACAGAGTGGGTGGAGATGTTTGATGACATCCCACCTGCAGTCTACTTGCAACATGTGAATATTCCTGATGCCGTGTTCTGACAATAGTTTTTCCCCAACAGCTGAAAGCTTTGGGGTCTCAGCCCAGATAGGCTCCGGGGTGGTTCGGGGCGACCCTGAGCTAAGGTTCCAACAGGGTTCCACCAGGGGTTCTACCAGGGGTTCCACCAAAGTTCCACCAGGGTTCCACCAGGGTTCCACCAGGGTTCCACCAGGGTTCCACCAGGGTTCCACCAGGGTTCCACCAGGGTTCCACCAGGGTTCCACCAGGGTTCCACCAGGGTTCCACCAGGTTCTGCAAGGGCGGGGTGGTCTGGGGTGGTTTGAGGTAAGGTTCCACGAGGGTTCCACCAGGGTTCCACCAATTTCTTCGAGGGCTGCGGGTTTGAGGAAGGTTTCACGAGGGTTCCGCCAGGGTTCCACCAGGGTTCCAGGCTGCGGGGTGGTCTGGGTGGTTTGAGGCTGGGGTGGTCTGGTTTGAGGAAGGTTCCACGAGGGTTCCACCAGATTTCCACCAGAATTCTGCCAGGGTTTCACCAGGTTCTGCGAGGGCTGCAGGGTGGTCCGAGGTGGTTTGAGGTAAGGTTCCACGAGGGTTTGACCAGGTTTCCACCAGGGTTCCACCAGCCTGTCGTGCTCCGGACGAGGGTTCCACCAGGGTTCCACCAAGTTCTTCGAGGGTGCGGCGTGGTCCGGGGAAGGTTCCACGAGCAGGGTTCCACCAGCGGTCCGGGCTGGTTTGAGGTAACGTTCCATGAGAATTCCACCAGAATTCGACCAGGTTTTGCAAGGTAAGGTTCCATTCCAGCACAGTTCTAGCAGGGTCCCACGAGGTTCTGCGAGGGCTGCGGGGTGGTCCGGGGTGGTTTGAGGTAAGGTTGTATGAGGGTTTCAGGGTTCCACAAGATTCTGCGAGGGCTGTGGGCCCTGAGGTTTCACAGGGTTCCACAAAGCTCTGCAAGGATTCCACACGGGTTCCACAAGGCTCCACAATGCTCCACCAAGCGTGTGTCGTGCGCCCGTCGTCTGAAAAGCCATCGAATCAAGATCGCTTTGCTCATGGGTGGAACACTAAGCAAAACCGAAATCAATGGTTTTTAGCGCGCTTTCACTGTTTTGTGACTTGCTCACTTGCTCAGGCACATGTTGGCTTTGTCGCAAATCAGATCACGTCGCTGCGGAACTCACGGTGCAGCAGAGTAAATGCTTGGCATTGCTGCTTGGTGGGCTTTGGGTTCCAAGAATTCCACGAGGCTGCGAGGGCTATGAGGTCAAACACCAAATTCTGCAAAAGCTATGGGGCAGCCCTGAGGAAAGGTTCCAGCAAAGTTTCACGCTGAGCTCCACGAAAGTTGCGTGAGAACGGTTTAAGAGGTTTAGCGGGCCTAGGTCGGGGCCCGATTGCACTGTCGGGGCCTTTGGGCCCGATCGGCCCCGATTGCGCCATCGCGCCCCGATCGGGGCGCGACTCAGTCGGGCCCCGTCAATTGTACCAAGCTGGCATCGCCTAGTTTTGCTATAGATACAGTTGCAATCCGCATACTAAGGAAAACCGGCGTTGAGCTATAATATGGGTGGCTGGGGTTGCACCACGGGACGATCGGGGCCCGATTGCACCGTCGGGCCCCGATCGGGCCCCGATTGCACCGTCGGGCCCCGATCGCGCCCCGATTGCACCGTCGGGCCCCGATCGGGCCCCGATTGCGCCGTCAGGCCCCGATCGGGCCCCGATTGCGCCGTCGGGCCCAAGCTGGCATTGCCTAGTTTTGCTATAGATGCAGTTGCCTTCCGCATGCCAAGGGTCACCGGCGTTGAGCTATAGTAGGGTTGCGCCACGGGACGATCGGGGCCCGATTGGCCCCGATTGCACCGTCGGGCCCCGATCGGGCTCCGATTGCACCATCGGGCCCCGATCGGGTCCCGATTGCGCCGTCGGGCCCCGATTGCGCCGTCGGGCCCCGATCAGGGCGAGATTGCGCTGCCACTCGTAGCTTTGCTTTACAAGGCGGCATCCTCAGCAACACCGGCGGTAAGGATGGTCCCGGGGCGTTCCGCGAGGATTCTGGGAGTTATTTGTTCTCTTGTTCCCCAGCAGCTGAAGGGTTCCACCAGGGTTCCACCAGGGTTCCACCAGGGTTACCAGGGTTCCACCAGGGTTCCACCAGGGTTCCACATGCTGTTGGGGATATCACCTGAGCTTATTTTTTTTGGTGGGTAGCCTGCTGGGGAGGATGAGAAGAAGAGACAATCAACATTTCAGCCACAAAAGCCACCCTTGTCCCAACCCTTGTCTTAGAGCGGCTTGTCCTCCCTTGTAGCGAAACATCTCTGCGGCTTTTTCCTTTTCACAAGCAGAGAGAGAGGAATGAATCCTACAGGTGGAAATCACAACCTAGCATCTGTGCCAGTAGTGTTGAGAAGCACACCAGGACTCCTCCTGGCACTCGGTATTGTTAAGCATGCGTTTTGAGGACTTCCCATGTGAGCAGCTGACAATATTATTGGGTTCGTCTTCTGTTGGTTTCGAAACACTTTGGCAGATTCTAGGACTCGTCTCTTGGTGCAGTTTCTCCTACTCGCACATGGCACAGTTTAAACAACGAAGCATTTTGAGCACCCCGCCCGGGTCTTTTCCCCGCACTCAGGGGTTGAACAAAACCACTTTAAGCATTTTCGCTGCTTCTGCGGTTGCTTCAGCAACCAACAACCTAAATGCCATTTGTTTTTTCGACAGGCTGCGCCACCGCGGTTGGTGGACATGGTTTTTTCACGCAACTTTCTGGTTCTCAGCAGGGAATGAGAAATGGCATAAACCATCTTTTCTGGTTTCCTTTTTCCGGGAAGCCCCAAACGGTTCATTCCCCAAACCCGTCATTCCCTATCGGAAGCCAACGTCTGACGTCCGGGTCGATTATTTTTTGTATTCCCCTTTGAATCCAGAAGAAAGGGTACCAACTACAAAAAAAACCAACAAACAAAAAGACCCCCCCCCCACCCCCCACATTTTGGGTTTCTTTTGGCGCGTGTCCACCGGGTCGCTGGATATGTTTGACGCTTTGAGGTACCTGCCGCAGCGCAGGGTGTCGGCGCTGGAGCTCCCGCTGCGCTTGGAGTGGGAGGGGCGCGGGGCCAAGCGGATGGGAACGGGGTGCCACGAGTTGGGGATCGATTCTTCCAGAGGATTTGGGCGCGATTCCAGGGAAAACAACAACAACAGCTGCGCGTTGTTTGCTTAAAAGGGTCGTGAGGCCTCCGGGTGGAAGAAAGAAACACCTAAAAGCCTAAAAGGCGCTGGTTTGCTTGGCAGAGGGCCCGTAAGTGCGATCTTTCAAGTTCCAAGTTTTGCATGGGGCTTTTCGGCACCGGGGCCGAAAGGAGCCATTTTGTTTGGGTGCAGATTGGAAGGCAACAAAGATTCCGTTCCCCAAAATGAGAGTCTGCATGCTTCCTTCAGGGATCCTCAGGCATCTCCTTTGGAGCCTGAAACATCACGTTTTGGTTGTCAATTTTGAGTGAGATTCCTTTTTGGTGGGGCGATGTTAAACGAGGCATACAAGGATGCCTTCTTTTGTTTTGTTTTTTGTGCAAAGAACTTCAAGCCAACGTTGTTGAACTCCATGAACCTGCCCTTAGCTTAAAGTCCCTAGCCGGGGGTGAAGTTCGGCCCCAAGGAAGCTGCAGGGTGCGTCTCAAAAGTAGTTCGAAGCAGGTGTTGAGCTGTTTTTTTTTCGGGGCTTCCGCATTGCAACGACCCAAGGCGTTCCTTTTAGAAACTGTGGTGATCGGTTTGCGAAGGTTTGATTCCGATTGGTCCAGGGTGGTCCGAATCACATCCGGTTGATTGTGGAAATCTTTCGCATGAGAAGAGTTCTTTGTCAGAGAGGGGGATCATGAGAGACCTTCAAAGGCAGACAGGGCAACCAACAGCAGCAAGCCCAACAAAACCTTTTGGGCTGTTCCAAATGGTTTTGGGAGCAAGCCAGTCTGATTTGGCACCCTTTGTGCACTCTTAAAGTTGGAGCATTTGCAGGAGCCTCCGTTCTTGGGTGATGTGGACAATTATAGCGCACGGTGGGTAACATGAGCTCACCCATGATGGCCCACAAGAGGACTCCTGAATTCATTGGTGGACTTTCCCCATTTGGGGGTTTGGGGTGAGTTGTGGGTCGCGAATGAAGCCTTTGGGGTCCCCCGGAAAAAATATGTCTTACACACCCCACCCTTCCCAGTGGTTTTCCCTTTGCAAAATCCCAGGAAGGTACCCACCCCCCTTCTGGGTGTGTCTTAAGACAGACCCTACTCCAAGAACCATTCCCCCCCCCCCCCGCCGCCACAAAAAAAAGAGAGAAAAATAAGGAACAAGGAAAAGCACAACACAAAAACCACAGCCGACCCATCCAAAAGAAAGAGAGAGAGAGAGAGAGAGAGAGAGACACCCACAAAACGAGCCGGCGCACGCGGGTTACCGCGAGTGCCAAAGACGCGGCCTGCGCGCTCAGGGTGCAGATCACCAGCCAGGTGCACCAGTGCAGGGAGTCCCGGCGGGAGGAAAGCTCTGTGGGCAGTGGGAAAAAGGGGGGAGACATGGGGAAAATGCGCGGGAAAACGGGCGGGGCGGGGGGGGGGGGAAGCAGATGGGAAGCAGTGGGAACACACAAGGGGGAAAACTGGGAACAAGAAAGGGAGGGCAGGGATAAGGACGCAGGGAGACCTGGAAAGGGAAGCTGGATTCCGAATTGGAGACGTTTGTAGGGCTCCGAGCTTCCAAAAGATTAAGGCTAGAAAATTGGTGAACGGTTGATGCCGATGATCAGCGCGCAAGTTGGTCGACATTTTGGGCAACGGTGTTCTTTGTGGCGGCCTTCGCCGCTCGGGTCTTTGCAGCAACCTGGCTTGGATCTGTCACCGCGGAAAGAGCAACCCTAGGTTCACCTAACAGTTCAGGTTGGTGAAGCCTAGCCTATACCATTTTTTGGATGGTACCCTTTCCGGGCTTGTTGCTTTGCGCGGAAGCGGCTCGTCGTGAGATGGAGAGCTACACCTGGAGCCCCAGCCGCTTTCTTCGGCCTCAAATCCCCGACCGCCAGGCGGTCGGGATGGGTGCGCCTCTTTGGCTCTGGCTCTTGCAAAGTTGAACCCATATTGATCAACCCCAGTTTATTAATACGGGGGTGTCCCTGGGGAACACCCCCCATATTAGTAAACTGGGGATTTATATGATTTGTTAAAATAGGGGGTGTTCCTGGTGAACATCCGCATAGTAGCAGACTGGGCATGAACATGGGCTCAAGATTAGAGGGAAGTTGATTTGTGCATGCTGGCCCTCTTCGAGGCTGTTCAACTTAAATTCCACGCCGGCTGGGGTGGGAGGGATAAAGCACTACGAACACTGAGTGATGAACCACCAATCCCAACTGGTGCAGGAGTTTGTCTATCAGTAGCATCCCAACCTCCCTCCCCCGAGCCTTTGCGTTTTCATGTTTCCCCGCAGCAAGGCTTGAACACTTGGGACCCCTTTGCTTGGAGCCCAACCGCTTTGCGGAGTTCTCGATAAAGAGCCGTTCCCATGTTCCCAGAATCTGAAAAGGACGGAATGTCCAGACTTCGGCCCCTGCCCCCCCCCTCCCTCGCCGTAGGGCCGTCGATTTACCTCCTGATCCTCGAGAGCGCCTCCCGCGCCGGGTTTGAGGCAGGCACGCGTTTGCTGGGCCGAGCGGGGAGCAAAAAACGGGAGTGGGTGGGTTGCTTTGTTGCTTGGCAGGGCTGGCTTGTGCCACATGTTCCGCACCAGCATCATCTGTTGGGTGCATTCCAGGCTGGATTTCGCTTGGGGCTTGGTTGATTTTAGATGGTGCCAGCAGCCCAAATCCGACTCAAAGCGCCATCTAACCCGTTCAACTGATGCTGGTGATGCTGGGGATGCTGCCTCCTGGCAAAACCAACAACCAGCTGCTCAAAAGACCGCTCGGTCGGGCAATCCGGCTTTGGGGCTTCCGCTGCTCATCTTCAGCTGAGTTTTGTTCCATGTCTCTCTTCTAGACGAGTCTCAGAGTACTGTAGGCATACTGCCTTTGAGATGCTGCTTGTCAGGGTCCATTTCCGTGGATAGAGGGGATGCGCCCGAAGAGACAGGGAACCTTGCAGGAGATTAACCAAATTTGCATCCTTCTCACTGGGCTCCGAGTAGGCGTACTGCCCCTTGACCATGGCGTTCCTCCGACGCCAGCGGAAGGGCGGAGCGTGGCGAGCCGCGGCCCTGAGCTTGCCTCTGACTCTTGGCTGGTCTTCCCATCCTTGAAAAGGGTGCCGCAACCCGGAAAAAACAAAGGTTGTTTAAGTCTGAAGGCATCACGAACGCCCGGAAGTTGGTGCGTGCCTCGCTCGCAAAGCGACGTTCGAGGCGAAGGACCTCGGCCTCTTCCACGCCTTCCTGGGCGGCACGGCGCGAAGCTTCAGGGGGCGAGATGCGTCAGGGCAGTGGTGGATTTGGCTTTGATGGAGTTTGGTTGAAAGCTCGGGGGAATCGCCACATGTGCCATATCCACAACAAGTAATTGTGAAGCCACGGTCTTGGGGGGGGGGACATTTGCCCATGGTATGAATATCACTTTACTGACGCGTTCCTTCGAGGTTCGATGGGTGAATGGTTGCGGGTCTGAGGTGGCGAACATGCTGCCGGCGCTCAGTGGCCGGGGCCTGGCTGAGGATTGCAACCCCCCCCAAGTTTCAATGTCTTTTTTCTTCTGTGTCTTTTTCCCCAACTGGTTGTGGGTCAAAACCAATGGTACCATTTTTGGGTAGGTGCACCACCCATTTTAGTCTATCTTAGTGGGGATCGAATCGGATGTTCACTGGAGGCTTACCGCCTCAAAAGAAGTTCGCTTTGTTAGACTGCGTAGTTTGTTTGACCGGCAAGGGCTTTGGAGGACACCGGGTTCTGGGGGTTGGGATCCGGCGTGTGCCTCTGAGGCTTCTCCTACGACAAAGTCAAGGATTCAGACCGCAGGGTGGGGTGCGTTGATTGGGGACCATGACTCTCTCCCTACCTCTTGGTTTTGGGTTCAAAGAGCCGGTTGGGGCTCGGCAAACAGGGTCTCCCACTGAATTCCACTTCTGCGTCTCACCAAAAACACCACCGCCAGGCCACGTGGGATTGCGACGTCGTCCTAGATGGGATCCCCGAGGTCCGGAGTCGAGTCAGCTTCTTCGGCTGCGGTTTTCGCCGGCTGCGCAAGGATCGGTTGATTTGGAATGTGGCGAAGAAGCACGGCCCGTGACCCTATTTGCGCAGCTTGCTTCAAGGGGCGATCGGGAACGTGAGGGAAGTGGTTAGTAACCATGGGCAAACAAACCACCAAAATGGTTGAACCAAAGTAGGCTTTTACCATGACTTGGAGCACTTGCAGCGATAGCTTAAGTGGCTTATGACCATAGTTACGAACTAGCTTACCCTGAAGTTCCCGATTGCACCTTCAAGTGGATTGGCATCCCGCCATGCAAGACGCCAAGGATACAAGACCATCTTCGGTGCCAGCGGCTGCAATGGCAAGAAGCTCAACCCGATGGAGGTCGAAATTGAACACGGTACCAGTAGCTGTGGTGTTGGTTTTGGTTTCCCTTTGAGCACCCTCAATACACAAGGTGGGCAGGGCCCCAATTCTAAGTGAAACCAATCCTTGATTTGTCTTGCAAGGTTGCTTGATCAAACAGGGTCACTCAAATTGGTAGTGGGTCCTTTCCTTGACTAGTATGGGCTTAGGTTTTTTGGTTTTCATCGCCCAAAGTACTCCGATCGTTTGGGTCGCATTTGGCGCCGGCCGAGGCTTTCTGGGCACGCGGTACTGCAGGAATCGGCTGCAAGAGTTTGATCGCGGGGAGCTCATGGAGTGCGCGCCTGTCATCCGGAAGGTGGTGCACGTTCAACTTGGAATTAGGGTCGCCAGCACGGGGGGGTGCTTCGCTACTTAAGCGACACCTTGGAAACGCATCTGCGACAACCTGTTTCCCTCAGGTGCGGGTCCAACAGGCCAGAAACACCCCTGCCCCTGGTTTCCTCCAAGGCTTGAAACTTAAGGCCTGATATTTCGGGCTTTTGTTGGGAGGAGACCAGAGCAGGGTGGGGGGAGTTTGGCTCCCATGACGCTGGGGCTGCCCTGATTTGAGACGAGCCAAACTTTTTGAAGGTGTCGCCAAAACCAGGCTCCCTACCCATGCGTGATTTGTTTTCCGGGGGGGGGGGGGGTTTAGGAGTGTTCTGTCGTTGAGACATGTCCGTATTCTTTGCGCCGAGGTGTTGCACCATCCTTGGAAGTTGACCCGAACTGCCACAGCCAGAACGAATGGCGCCTGATCGTGCAAGAGAGGACCTGCCACCCCCCACAACCGTTGTGGCGAGGGACTGAGACAACACACCTTAGGCCCTTGAGTTTATCCATGTGGACGGCAACTTTTTGGCCCTTGGTCAAGAAACAAAAGCTAGAAACACTGCAGCACGACATTTCTGGGATCACGGATGCTCAGTGTGCTTCTCCAAACTGGCCAACTCAATGTGTGATGTCAAAGATGCGGTGGGAGTCACCAGACGGACAAGAGCAAGAGGTGCACCGTTCTGTTTTGGCATGATTCGCTGAGGAAACATGAGACAACTGTTGCCTCAGTGGATTTAGTGTTGACCAAAGCCTCAAAACCAAGGGTGAGCAACTGACATGGATTTCGGGCTGCCAGTTTCCGCACATCCAGCGGCTTTTGCGCGCCAATTTGGGGCACCGGTGGGACTTTGCACCATTGCTTGGAGGTCAAACATCTCCAGGAGCCATCATTCTTGTGGCTGCTATTGAGGGCAGAGTGGTCTTGGCGGGATTTCCGCCTCAACAGCAATGATTCGCGACCACTGACTTGAACTCAAAAGGAGACCGGGGGCCCGTCTTCGGGGTTCGTTGAGCTGCAGGAATCGAAGCCGTGGTTGCGTCGGAGAGAAGAGGCCGCATGAGCACTTGCTGAACTACTTTCTTCGATTTCAGGAGTGTGCATGACTCGCATGCCTGGAGATGGGTGTTTCTCAAAACGGCCACAATGGTTTGAGAAACCCCCAGATGCGGACAAACCGGCTGGGAGTAGTGTGCAAAACACATGACGCAAGTCTGCTAGAAGACCCCCTGGTACGGGTTTGTCGGGGGTCCCAAGCCAAATAAGCAGGGACCGGAGGGCCGATTCATTAATCTGTTGATGGTAGTTTCATTTGTTCACAGGCCTCACATGTGCTCGATTTGTCTTGAAACATGCATTGGACCTTTGACGATGGGAAAAGCCTCGCGGCTTAGCAATTTTTTCCCCGACTGCGAGGAGATCCACGCAGATGTTCCCATTTTTGCCTACCTCCATCTTGAGGCTCGCTCACTTGCGGCGTGATGCGCACTCTTGGCTCTTGCTGCTTCCCCCATTCTTTCCAGAGATCCAGAGATCCCTCTCTTCAGAAAACCATTTACCACCAAAAGCCAGGGCAAAGGGTCTTTGTTGAAAAGAACGACACGCGCAGGGGGAACAGGAATCACCCCTTGCCTAGGGTTCAACCCCTCATTTAAAATGGTTGACCCAATTTAGATGGATATATGAGCAATGGTCAAACACCCCCATTGCTTGGGGTTAGCAGGGATGGTCATCCACCTGGGATTAAGGACCCTCAAAACCATTAGAAGGATGCCTATTCAGTCAACCATGATCACAGGCCATATATGGAGTTTTTGACTATGGCTCATATGAATCCCAATTTCTTTGGAGTATTGCAGCCTGGTTTCTCAGACCGAGGCAGCGCATGAAGCGCAAGAGGCGCTGCAGCTACTTGCCAGGCGCTGAGCAAACCAAAGCTTGGTTTCTCCAATCACTATTCGGGGGAAAATTGTATTCTCTTTTGTAGTGGCTACATAGGTGCTACATAGTGGCTGTGCATTTATCCCACTAAGCCCTTTTGGGGGCCATGGTTTGGAGGTAGTGAAAGATATTTTGACTCTTTGGTCCAAGCTTTCCCTTTGGACTTGTGAACATGTGCCGTTCCTCCAACAAACGTGAACGTTGTCAGGAGGGTTTGGTAGACTACATGACTACATGTTCCCCCTTTTGGGGAAGCTCCCACCAACCGCTTCCATGGTTGAACACTCACCCACCAGTCTGTCTCAGGACAAAGCCCTACTTTCACACCTTGAGGGGCTCAGCAGGCGGCCACTTGCGACTCGCCCATCCGCCGCGTGCAAGGATTCCAAACCGTTCCTAAAGGATGATCAAACGGTAACGGCTCCTTTGGCTTCCCGGGGGTGTTGGGAGCAAACCTGTTTCGGCCGCAATTCGAATCGCTGGAAAACTACGCGTCCTACGCCTCCAAAGTCTTGAACGATGGGGTCCACCAGAAAAGATCACCTATTGACCGTGCGAAGAGTTGAGCTGCGTATCTCGGGACCGCAACCCCTAGCGTGCGGGTCAGCATCCAGTGGACCTGTGTGGTTGAGCAACTGGGGTTTCTCGAGTGCTGCAGTTCGAGCTTCCATCTTCGAAGCTGCAAGGAGCTCTACTCAGTAGCAAGAATGCAGGCAGGCAGGCAGGCAGGCAGGCAGGCAGGCGGCAGGCAGGCAGGAAGGCAGGTAGGCAGGCATTCCAAGAAGGGTTCCTTCACAAAAGGGCGCTGTCCAGTGGAAGAAGGAACCGCACCCACATGTGTGGCTTTTGGATGCCAGGCTCCCGCCTGAGGCGCGGCCTGTGGTGGTGGGCCCGGCGCAAATTTCTTTTTCGTCGGCGTCCAGTGGCTGAGGTGAGGGGGTGGCCCAAATCTTCAAATGCGCGGCTCGGCGCTTTTTAGGGCAAGTCTTGTGGTCTTCCTGGCGGTTTCCCCTATTAAACCCACCGACAAAAAGGGGCACCCCCCCGAAAAACAGACAACTGTTGATGGAGACTGGTCCCAGCTGAAATGGACCCCCAAAATGCGGTCTTCCCTTTAAAGCCCCCCAAAACGTGGTTGCCCCCCCCCCCCCCCCAACAAAAAGTGACAAACGGCCCATCTGGTCCCCCGACCAAAACAGACCTGCGGGCATGGCAGGTCCTGGCGGGTGACCATGGGCCGCCGGACATGTGCGACGAGCCGGGGCCCAAAAATCTTCGCAGGTCGCTCATGTCAGTGGAATGGCAGGAGCCACAAATGAGCGTGTCTTGTTTTGTGCATTTGGCGTTGGGACCATTCTCCATGAGGATTTGGGTTTGTGTATTTCTGAGGGCACTCCTGTGTTTTATTTTTTGTGGTTTTGAAGGGAAGACGAAAGCAAACCAATCCATTTTGGATTTGGGGGGTCCCCTTAAAACAGACGCACCCCAAATTTGAACACGCCCGTGCAAGACACAGAGGGGTGTGTCTTAAAATCGGGGACCTCCGTTGGTTTCCTTTTGGTTTCCCTTTGAGCCAACCACGCAAAAGGCGTACCACCACAAACAGTGAGACCAAAATTTGTTGCAAGTGCCATCGTCTCGTGGGGGACAAGCCCCCCCCATGGGCGAACATGGTGCCTGAGAGTTGGTCCAATCAACGAGCTTCCCAAGGGTTTGTGCGAGGACGGTATTTCTGCGTCCACGGTGGTCCCCTGGGAAAACTGTGATCCGAGAGTGGCCTGCCCCAACAGCCGCGCTGCGCGCGGGTATTTGTAGGGAGAAGCTGGAGCCACTGCCATCCATTTTCCAAAGTGACATACAAAGGACATCATGCAAAGCAGGCCTCAGTTGACAAGTGCCTCGGTGCCCCCCCGCACCTATTCGGGCGTGTGCTGAGACAGGCCCACCAAAAAGCGAACCCCAAAGGGTACTCCAGAAAGCGGACGGGGGACCGGCCGCTTCGTGGCATTTTTGGAGTCACGCCTTTGGGTACGCGCTCAGGAGCTTCCCTTTCGCAGGAACCTCGGTCCGTGGCTGGCGTGATCCCCTTCGTTTTGAAGGAGTGAGCATGTTCGGCCAAATGACTGGTGCTCATTTTGAGGACTCGTCTTAGAGCGAAATGGGAAAGGAAGGCGACAAACCTGCGCAGCACAGCAGAGTCCAGGTCTCATTGTTAATGCCTGAAGCACGCCTCCCCGTGGCTCAAGGCGGGTGGTTCAAACCCGGCGAGGGCAGAGGGCGGTAACGGTGTTTGTTTCAAACTAAATTGCCCCCACATCCCTTTTTCCTTTTTTGGAGGGTGTGTCATTTTTCCTGAACTCAACTGCCAAACATGGTGCCCTTGTTACCATGGCGACTGGAGGTCTGGGTATGGGCCCTCTGTTTGCGTGCTCAGGGGGCGGTTTTCTGGTTGGCACACCTGCCACCGTCAAAATATTGTTTAGGGATGGTCATCAGCCCAGAATCGAAGATTTTAACCACCATCCAGGCTCTAAGCCATGACAACGTGCCGCCACATGTTTGGTTTTGGAGGAGTTTTGACCGTAGTACGGTGAGGAATTCAACAAGCAGAGACGCCATGGAATAAAGTGCCGGGCAAAGGGAGGTTGGTCAACATATCCTCAAGTGTCGATAGTGAAGTTTTCAGGGTTCCCAATCTTTCGGATTTTTGGCCCACGTTTCGATTGCCAAGTTGAAGTGAGTTTCTGTTTGGTTGGTTGACAGCATTTGGAGCCCTGTTTGGCAGAGACGAGAGGGGCTTTGTTTGGGCGCACACCAAAACAAACACGGAACTCCAATGTCCCCGCAACTTTTGCTAGTTTTCCCCTTGCCTTGTTTTTGGCATTTCCGCCAGGTCCTCTGGTGGCAAGTCACATATGCTTCTGTCGGTGGACAAAGCTCCCAAAATGATGTCCACCACAGGGCTCCCCATTGAAGTTCAACACCCAAATTGGGCACAAATGGATCAAAGTTCCACATCTGGGTGTGCCTTTTTTAGGGAACCGCAAGAAAAATGGCTTTCCTGTTGGTTTCCCTTTAAACCAACCCCGAACAGGGTACCATGAAAAAAGACAGACCAATCTACATTTGGGTGCCGGTGCTGCTGACAGGTGCTCCCCTCGGGAGTCCTGGCGTTTCGGGGACCGACATCGCTCGCCGCTCGCCGCGTCGCGTTTGGCCCATGGAGGTCCTAATCAATGAGGACCAGAATGATTGAATGGGCGGTGGTCCCGTTGGTGACCCTTTGAAACCAAAATGGGCTTCCCTCAACAAAATGCAAAAGAGTTGGGCGACATCAGACGCAACTCCGACCCATTTCGGTTGACTCATTGCTGGGGGGTCTCTTGTTTCAGATGTTGGAATTTGTTTGCACCATCAGATGGACGGGGTTTGCGGAACACAAAGGCAAGGGGCTACAAAGGGTTGTCTCAAGCTGTGTAGGGTATGGAGCTCCCCCGAGGGTGGGCTTTCCCTTCTGTTTCTTGGCAAGCCCGAACCGGTTGGTGGGTCAGAATTTGGCTCCCAAGGAGGACACTGACTGAACCATGGTCTGTTTGGCGTACGGTTGGTGCCATTCCCCGTGACCGCCGGCGTTTCTAATCCGGCCGTCTTTTGGATCTCCAATATGCCGTTTGTTTTATCCGTGGCTACAAAACCGGTTGGTCGAAAAAGACGGGTCCCCAAAAAAGACGGCACCACGATAGATGGAAAGTCGAAAGGCATCCAGGGATCGAGGGATGGTTCTCAGCAGGGACTGAGGGAACGACCCCTATAAACCATCCCCTTCTGGTTTCCTTTTAAGGGAATCCCCAAATTCATTCCCAAAACCCACACGGTCATTCCCTACCTATCGCAACAAGAGAAAGTCGCAGGGTGCCGTTCGTTTTGAATCTGCGACCCCTTAGCGCCTCGGCAGGACGAAGCGGCGTGCGCACGAGGAGCGACCCATGTGCCATGTGGAGACTTTGCGCTCGTGTGCCTGGATCCCCTAAAGTTCTAAAGGACTTGGTCTTGCACTGTGCACAAGCCAATGCTTGGAGCCAGTTTGGGCTCGGAGAAATCATGCCGCGTTTAGAACCTTTTGAGAATCAGAACTGCACTGTTGGGTGCCCCCTTGCGGGTGACACACACACACACACACCTGCATGGACCCCTTTACATGTAGGTTTCCTCCCAAACTTGCTCCAAAGCTCTTGACGGGGCTGCTGGTGAAGCCGAAGAGGCGCGGCTTAGCTCATTCCTCATTTACTGTAGTAAGGTGGATGACATGGGGTTTAATACATGGGTTTACTGTCCGACTGGGCTCAAGTTCCGCAGCCGGATCAAGCATCGATCATGGACAAAAGGCGCAGGACCGACGAGCATGGCCATGGCCATGACCATGGCTACTCCGACAACCACCGACGTCCTGCGCGGCTGCCGGTCACGGTGCTGACGGGCTACCTGGGCGCTGGCAAGACCACCTTGCTGAATTACATCCTCCGGGAGCAGGCGGAGAAGAAGCTCGCGGTCATCGAGAACGAGATCGGAGAAGTGAGCATCGATGACGCCTTGGTGGAGCAGAAGCATCAAGACATGGCCGAGGAGTTGGTTCTCTTGGACAACGGCTGTATCTGCTGCACGGTGCGCGGGGATCTGATCCAAACCCTGCACAACATCGGCCAGAGGTGGAGCACGGGGCAGGTGCAGCTGGACGGGGTCTTGATCGAGCTCACCGGCATGGCGGACCCCGCGCCGGTGGTGCAGACCTTCATCGTGGACCCGGAGGTGCAGAGGAACTTCATGGTGGACAACGTGGTGGCCCTGGTGGATGCCCTCCACGGCCTGGAGAAGCTGGACGAGAGCAAGGGAGACCCCGAGAAGGGCACGGCCTGTGCTCAGATCGCCTTCTCCAGCACGGTGCTCTTGAACAAGACCGACCTGGTGGACGCGCTGCGCCTGGAGAAGGTGAAGAGACGCCTCAAGGACTTGAACGGCGCGGCGGAGATCATATGTTGCCAGCAGGCCAAAGCCCCCATGAACAAGCTCTTCAATGTGGGGTGCTTCAATCTAGAGAAGGTCTTGGAGGAGCAGTACATGGATGAACATGAGTTTCGGCAGTTTTACCAGCCCAAGATGGACAAGTCCGTGTCCAATGTGGGTGTCCGTTGCGAGGGACAGGTCATGATGTTTGCCTTCCAACGGTTTTTGGATCGATATCTGGACACTGAGGAAACCGCCACGGACTTTTTGCGGGTGAAGGCGGTTTTGAATATTGCCGGCAGCGATCGGAAGTTCGTGCTGCAGTGTGTTCACATGCTGAGGAACCAGGGCTTTACCGTGCCATGGAAATGGGGCGAAAAGCGGGAGAATCGCATCATCTTCATCGGTCGCGGCATGCAGCCGCGCCGGGCTGAGCTGACAGAAGGCTTCAAGCAGTGCCTGCAGACCAGTCCCTTGAGATTTCCGGTGGGCACCCAGGTCAAGGCGAAGACCGGTGGTGGGCCCCACGACTGGGAGAATGGTGTGGTGGTGGGCCAGTGGGACGAATGCAATGCCTATCGCTTGAAGCTGATCGGAGGAGATGAAGTTCATGCACCCATGGATTTGGATTGTTTCGTCGCAAGAGCTTGAGTCAAGGCGGCCCCCTGGTCCGGTGCCGCCCGTGGCTTCAAATTGCCTCGACCATCGCAACAAGAAGTTTGGCCGCCAATGGCGGCCGTGCGGAGGGGTGTGTTTGACTCTATTTTTGGCAGATGGATGGCGCTTGCGCCTGAGGGAATTGTTCCTGAATTAAATGCTGGTCCGACACAGATGGCACAGCTTTATTGCATATGGCCGCGGGTCAAAACCAGTGATCCCCAAATTGGGGTGGACGAACATCCGTTTATCAAATATTTTTGAGGTCCACCAGGGTATCAGGGGTTGGAGCCGTGACCACAGTTTTTTGTGTTTGGTTGGAGTCATGATTGGCTGACTCAGACGCACATCGCGCTCAGACAGAAAATGCAAAACGCATAGGTTTGCTGACCAACAACCCATGTGAGGTGGCGACACGGTATTGACTGTGGCTCATACAAGATTGGTGTTTTGTTTTTTTGAGGGGGGGGCCTGCGCGCCGCACTCCCGAGCTGGGGGGCTGCGATGGGAGGCTCGTGTTCACAGTTCTCATGACAATTCACACGTTTTAGCAGCAAGAGAAGTTAAGTTAAAAGACGAGAGAACAAAGTGGAACTTGCTCCAAGTTGGTCAGATACTTTTGTGTGTGCCGGATGTGAGTTCGAGCTTCGCAGGACCAAGCACGCGCTTGGCGGAGGTATCTTTGGAACCTTGCGGACTGCTCAGTTGCCAGAGAAAATCCCACCTGCGCGCCTTTCTTTTGGTAGGTCACCTTTCTGGGCATATCCTGGTTCATGGGTTTCCCGCCTGAGCCGCAGAGTTTTGCTGGAGCAAGCCAAAGACGGAGCGCAAGCCAGACGCTTTCGGCCCAGATTTGGCAGCTGAGGACCAGAACCGATTCGTTATAACATCCTGGTTTGATGTGCCAGGGTCTCAGTAGAATTGCCCCTCCCGCAGAACCGATGATCCCAGAAGGATACCGTGTTGAGTCATGGTGGGAGCGTCGTTTTGAACAGTATCCTCTTTCGGATTGACCCGGCGCGGAGTGTGTTTGTTGGGGGGGGGGGTCCTTCTAAAATTTGGAGACCAGGTATGCCACATTCCGCCAGCTCATCGGGGATGCAGGCCGGAGTCTGGGTAATTCTTCCGAGGCGAGTTTGGGTTTGTTTTCCAAATGGGGTCTACAAAATGGGGCCGAGGTGTCCTTTGCAGTTGCCTTTAAGCCAGCCCCAAAAAAGGTGCCCTCAGAAAACCACATGTGAACCAGATTTATGCATGATCCCGACCTGAACCGAAAAGAGTGGCAATTCTTACCTCCAAGGCGTTTTTTGGGTGTAGTTCCTGCGGTTTTGGAAGACCCTGCATGAGACCTAGTTGTGCTCTTTCAATCCACGGGAGTTGCAACTTTCTTGTCCAGGCCCCTTCTAAAGTGCTCCAAAAGCATCAGTTGCGGCCGAAAAAATGGAAGGCTCATGGGAATTGGCTTGCTCAGAATGGGCTTCAATTTCCTGAACAGCTCACCCGCGTTTGCGGGTATCGATCACTCAAAAAGAAGAGACGCACCCCATCCCTGTCGTGTGCCCAGGAGATGTCCAGAACCTTTGGCAGTGGGCGGGGCACTCAGGTGCTGCCGCGCTCAAGCTGCATGGGAGCTGCTGAAAGGGGCGATCGATGCGGTGCGCGGGTCATGGTTCCGACCAAAGCCATGGTTGCGGCTCGGAAGTGAGTTGTAACCATGTCGGGGACTTCACGCCATGGCAAGTGGGTTATGAACAAATCGCTTACCTGACGTAGCCTGCCCCTGAACCAATGGCCCGCGCAGTCTTCCTTTGCTTTGAGCCCGAGTCAGGATGCCCCGGACCATCGGGCCCAGTCCTTGCTGAGCCGCATCTCGCAGCAAAGGACGGGGACTGGCAAAGGCTGAGGGCGCAGATGCACGGCCAATATTTTGTCAGGTAACCTTAGAATTGGTGTGTTGGATTAACCATGAAAACCACCAAGCCAAACCACCATGAGAGTGAAGCTGATTTACTGCTACCTACCGCAGTCTAGTCTAGAGGGTGACTATTCACATAAACCCTATTTCATTGGGGAGACAATGAATATTGACCGTCGCTCAGATGAGGTTTGTCTTTTTTGAGCGTGCCATCTTCTGGGATGGTTGGAATGGGACATCAAATGGAAGCTAGTTGGTTTGGCAAAGCTTGGCAGGACCGTTTTGGCGCTAGGGACTCAGAAAGGAAAGCTGCCAGTTTTGGGACCCCACAAATGGCAACGGCCTCCACAGCAGGGTTTTCCTTTGCACATCAACCAAAGGGAAAAACACCCTCGAGTTTAGTTGAAGTACCTCACAAAGAAGCAGGCGACTCCTTGTGCGCCATTTGGGCTGTTCTTCCGGGATTGTCCGAAACTTGGAGAAACGGATGAATAGAGTGGGACAGGTCGGGGCTGTTTGCCTTGAGCCCCCCCCATAAAGAATGAGTTGGGGCCTAGAAAGGGAGCGAAAACGGTGCCCTTGGATTTGGGTGAAGCAACCTGCTGGGGTTAGAAAAGCGTCCCTTTAGAACCACCCTGTGGGTACCTAACATGACTCCTTTTATGCCCCCTTTAAACTTATTCTTAAAGGACACCTAAGATGGCCGTGATGTTAAAACCACCCAAGATACAAGCTTTATTTGGCGTCCTGGACAAACAACATCTACAGCATGTGTCAAGATGAGATTTTTCTAAAAACCGAAAGGATAGCCGAAAGAAACGCTCAAGGTTCAAGGTACGCGTTTTGGAGGTGGATAGACATATACCATTTCTGTAATCCTATATTTGTGATATCCTGAGGTATGGATGGATACATATATATCTATATATAAATAAACACCACTTACATAAGCTTACATCCATACCTGACAGCATACCAGAAAACCCCTCCTCTCCTGGCCCCTGACGAGTGCCAGGACCTGCACGCAGGCCGGCGTTCCAGAGTGGCACTGTGCCTGTGCCCGCAGCTGGGTTGGCGCTTTGGCCAAAGAGTCGAAGCTCCAGGATCCCCAAACCCCACCCCTCCCCGGGCTCCACCAAAACCCTGAACCCAAAACGGATTAACAGGGTTTCTCAGCTAGGGTGCTTCGGGTTCAGGTTTCAGGAGCAAACGTTGGTGTTCCTCATGTCAATGTCTGTGTTGTGGATATTGGGACTTTGGACCCGGTTTCCCCAAAATGTTTGACTCATAGGGCTCTGAGCCTCGTCTCCCCCTCCCCCCTCTCCTCAAAATGGTGGTTATCCTTTTGGCTGTCCTGTGTGAAACAACCCTAAATTGTGGTTAGGTTGGTTGGCAGCTTGGTTGGTAGGTAGTTTTTTATGTTGGTTTGCTGGCTGCCAGGTTTGGTTGAGGGGCAGTACGTCACTGCCCAGGCTGGTGCCCGCTGTCTGAGCGTGGCAAGCGCGAGGCGCCTGTTGTCGCCGGCGGAAGCGATTTCTTTCGCAGCGTGGGAAATGGCTTGAGATGTTCCACGCAGATCTGCCATCTCATGTTCCGAGGTTCGGTCAAGATATGCAGTAGCCTATAGTCCATTTTGAAGGGATACGTGGGACGAGCTCTGAACTTCCCATGCAATCACGGGGACTCACTGATTCTACCTTGCCCTTAAGCGGGAATCGCGCATTCTGACCTGGTCGTATGTTTTGAGGGTTTGCTTCTTTGGCTTGCTTCAAAGGGAACCATGTGGAACATCTCCCCAGTTGGAGACAAACCTGTATTGAGATGAAGGGAAGGATTTACAAAACATTACTGCAGAAGATCGGTCGGTTTTGCCGGAATGCTTGGTGTGGGTTTTGGGTAGGCCATCTTGTATCAGTCAGGTGGCTGAGCGTGCGCTGCAGGAGGCGGGTCCTCCGAACGTATCACCTGAGGGTACATAGAAGTTCAATTCATCCTGGTGATGTAGGAATGCGGGTTGCTGGGGATGCTGGGGATGCTGGGGATGCTGGAGATCCAGCCCGGGATGGATTTTCTCTTGGGCCGAGAAGGATATTCTTTTTCGGGCTGGGAATGCTGGAGATACTGGGAATGATGGGGATGCTGGAGATGCTGGGGATCCTGGATATGCTGGCGATGAGGGCTGGGGATTCTGGGATGCTGGGGATGCTGAGGAGGAGCTTGTGGACCGTCAGCTGTATACCCTGCGGGTGCAGCTGGACTCTTGAATGGTCCCCAAGGAGCCATTTTTCTGCTAAGCTTCAATGTGTGGCTGGTTATGCAAGCCCCTGTTATCCGGCACATGTATCCCATTTCGGTTTTGAGCCTCCAAGGTTGGGGCATATTCCAACGCTTTGGAACAAAGTGGAGCTAGAGGGTACGGCGCTCTTCAAAACACATGGCCGGGATACGGCAGATTTCTGCGCAAATAGTGTCTGAGCAGAGTGAAAAGGGGATCATATAGGTGGGGTTGTCAAATGACCTTTATGCACACGGGATGCAACTGCCAGTGGAAACAAACATGAAGGACAGACAGTTCAGACTTTTATTATGTTATTGAACGTACTTTTTGAAAATCATATTCAATATTAAAACACACACTAAACTAAACTAATTTACATATTGGTTGTAAACGCTTTGGGCTGCCCTCCTCGGCCAGTATCAGCCTGATTCTTTTAGTTGGCTTTTTGCCTTGAGCACTTTGAGATGTTGGAAGAAACTCTGGGGTGCTACGTGTGGGGGGTTTGCGCGGCGTTTGGCAGCTCGAGGAAACGGATGGTGTTGCACCAGTGGTGCATGCAAGAGCGAACCTACGGAAAATGGCGCCGCAGCCAAACGCGCGTCTGGCACGCACGCAGATACATTTTTAGGAGCGTCTGCTATGCTCCGGGGCTGCGGCGGAAGTTTGTGGGTGGCTTGGAAGATCTGGGGGCCAGCAGGGGGTTAGGTGTAGTTCAAAGGGAAGGGGGCTGGGGTTGGGGAAGGGGTTGGGAAGATCCCTTAAGATCAAGAGGGATCTGACCGCTCGGCCCGAGTGGCCGAGGCAAACATATGAATACTTGGAGCTGTCTCAAAATTGGAGGAGCTCGAAACAACAGCAATGGTCGTTTCTGAACAAACCCGTGGAACTCAGCACGTCAGGCCCAGGACATCCTGGAGGTCACCGCCGCCAAGTTCAGGGCCAACATGTCCATTTGCCGTCCCCAGAGGCGCATATGCTTCTGCTCTCGGTAAAAAATGATTGTGGCGGTGGTTTTAAACATTGCCTGGGTGGCTGATCTTTTGTTGAGGGTACCCCTTTCACTTGTGAGGGAGGAATCTTGTGACCACGGCGTTTCCGGTCAAAACAATCGCAGCGTTTCCTTTCAAGTGGCGGTTTCTGGACCGCAGGATCTACCCCAACGATTCCGCATGGTGGCGATTTCGCATATTTTCCGTTTTGCTTTTTGTCTAAGGGGTACTCTTTGTGGCACTTATATTAAGTGTATCCCATTCGACCCTCAGGGCAGTTTGGGGTTGGACGCCATCTTAGACTCCCTTGGCTGGGGTTCCTTCCCGAATCATAGAGGGGATGCGCCAACCTCCCGCTAAAATGTTCTGCGGGCACAGCAGACTACGGTTTCTAGCCCTCCCAAAACGGAGGTCCTAAGTATTGCAAGTAGGGAACAAGGGAAACTCCCTGTAAATTCAAGCATGGCTTGTGGTTGGTTTGCTTGCAGTTTTTTGGGCATTCATCAAAAAAAACACATCCCAGGCATTTGTTTTTTTCAGTGGTTGGATGGGGACGAACCGAGCCCTTTGTAGTGGTTGGATTTTTCTTCCCGGACAAAGCGACAGCCCCAGCCCCGCAGGCTCGAGAAGGTGCTGTCCTGCGAGTCGCAGCTCAACACCCTCCAGCGGCTTCAGCTGGGGACGAAGAGGGAGTCGTGAGTTTTTGCGGGGCGCTTTTCCCGCGCGCTGGGCTTGTGTGTGTGTGTGTGTGCGTGTGCGCGCCAGAGTGAGTGTGTGTGTGTGTGTGTGTGTGTGTTTGTGTGTGTGTGTGTGTGTGTGTGTGTGTGTGAAGCGTCCTGGAGCACGGACGGAAATTCCACATTGCAGGGGGACCAGGCGTCTTGCTGCTGACCTGGTCTAACAAAGCTAGGCAGCAAGACGGGATACCGGAATTGGCCATTCCGGCGTACCTGCCATCCTTTCGTGACCTAATGTGTTTCCTCGGTTTACCACTGTTTGCTTCATGTTCGGTTTCGATGATGTGACATTTGCACTGCAGATTGATTTTTTCATGCCCTTTCAGTACAATCGCGTGTCTGCAAGAGCAGCCTCTCGAGATAAGTGTGTTTACCCACGGCCTGTCCGACATGGCGCTGTGGGCTGGACTCGCCACATGCGGGAGCCCCCTGCGAGGGGAAGACCGTTCATACGTTCAAATTCAACCTGCCGTTCAGCGCGCTTGACCACGATCAAGGCTGCAACTTGAGGTCTTAAGGTATTCCGCACCCAAATGGTGCTCTGCTGGTTTCATGTGCGTTGCACTGCCTGCCTTTGAAGCAAGGCTGCGCCCACGAGGTTTTAGGTTCCTAAGCTTCATGCGCCAGTGACGAGTTGGTCATACACCAACTCTGCAATTCGGGGTGTTTATGGAAGCTTTCGTCTCGGATGAGTTCAATTCAGATTCATCGGCATAGCCACATGAGGCACTTTCATGAGGCCACTTGACAGGCACCTCTGAGAACCCCTTTGTGCTCGCATGCATTTGCACCATTGACGCATTTTTGCCGCAGTTGTGATTTTGTTTCACCCCTTTCCAACCTTCTCTCTCCCTTGCGAGATGGCTGGACACCAGCTCTATGACATGATGCATTCGCTCCTACACAACATTGCGACCGGCACCGCGTCCGGCTCACCAGGCAATTGTGGACCGAACTTGCAGCTGTCATCCCAGATGACGCAGCCCATGAACCTTGTACCGTCACCCAACTCGCAGACGGCATCCTTCACACCTTTCCCCATGATGCCCTACGGCGGCCTCTCGAACTTTGGCAACCCGATGGCCATGATGCCCTACGGTGGCCCTCCCAATTACGGCAACTTGGCACCTGGCACCATCATGCCTTTCATGACTCAGAGCAGCATGCCATCTTCACCGCCCGAGCCTCAGCCGGCGCGCGCGCCCGAAGCTGCCGCTGCGGCTCCTGCCGCTACCTCCTCAACCAACCACCCTCCCCCGGACACTCGGCACCATCCCCACTCTCGCAGATCCCGTTCCCGCCACAGACAGCACCGACACTCCCACTCCCACACCAGCCACCATCGCAGGCACAACAAGTCGCACCGACGACACGACACCCGACGATCCCGCAGCTACAGCAGGTCACGTTCCCCTTCCCGACACTTCCACCACTCCCGACGTGCACACCACTCCACTGTCTCCCTCCGCTCCCGCTCCCCCCGACACAGGTCCCACCATCGACACTCCCCTGCACCCAGAGCCACGACTTCGCACCGACCCACTCACACTACTCATGATTCCACCTCCTGGCGCACTTCCGGGAAGGATTCCAACAAGTCTCAATGGTCCTCCTCACACTGGTGGAACCAATCGTGGGGACACCCACCACAGAACAAAAACCGCTGGGACATGCACCACCATGGCGCCAGCCACACCGGCCACCGAAACAACCAGGACAAACGATCGTCCTGGTCACTGCAGCACCATGGGCAGCAACCCCACCCCACTTCCCGCACCGGCCACCACAACACTAGCTTGCCCCCTCACCCAGCACCTGCGGCGGCCTTCACTTCCACTCCCCCTCCCCCTCCCCGACCCACGCTGGCTACTCCTCACCCTCCCCAACCCCCCTTCGACAACACCGATGATTTGGATCCCCCTCCATCGGAGGCGGACATCAATGCCACCACCACTTCCGACAACCGGTGGCTTGATCTATGGAGAAACGTCATGGACACGGCCAAGACTGACCCGCTGCGAGTTCCCACGCCTAGGGAGTTGGGGGAGCTGGACCCGCTTCCAGCCTTGGACATCTCCAGGATAGAACAGACTAAGGCCATTTTGATGAACCTGGACCCTGCTTTGCCACCTTCACATGCCGATCTCCTCGCGGAATGCTGGGAACTGCGAACCATGGACACGGATGATCCCATACCGTTCGATCCCAGCTTCTACCACCTCTTGGGACGGGAATCACACGGCATGGTGTTCGCAACCACTTGGTTTCCCCGACCTCATCCTTGGCCAGTTGCTGGCGGAGACCCGGAAGCTGGATCCGGCACGGCCTCCCATCACGCTGTCATGTATGTGCACGGCACCACCCCGGATCGAGTGCGCCGCATGTGCCATGAGAACATGATCCGACCCGCTGCTTGGAGGCCCGAGAACCATGACTACCCGAGCTTTGGATGCTACGCTCAGGCCACCCCCACGGCATGCACGCCCGACACGCTCGGCCAGCTCTTGCAGAACTTTACAATCGGAAAGTCTCAACTCGGCGCCATCGCTTTTGGGGAACTACGCTCCATCAATCAGCACAAAATCCTCGAATCCGGGGGAAGCCACGAGGATCAACACAACGTGCGGCGCCACTTCGCATGCCGCCGAGGCAAAAAGTGGTGCCTTCACTCCAAGTTTGCGATGCTGAGAGGCATCGCGCTGCAGCGCCCGGCTTAGCGGGACGCAAATGTACCATCTTCCACCCGACCAGGAAAAGAATTGGTGCACTGTTTGATCGCCTTTTTTCTTTGCTTTGCTGTTCTGCCTTTCTGCGACCGTTCTCTCGCCTTGTGACCTTACCCGCTTGATTCCGCTCACCAGCTTTTGGTTCGAACTTTTCCTTTTCCCCCGTGTTTTCTCATGGCTTTCCAACCCCCTCGAGGTTTGGTTCCGATGCTCCAAAGGCAAAACTTACCACCGCAGCCTTCGCCCACGGCATCCCATCATCATGGCATCATGTACGGCAACAACATGGCCGGAAACCCGTGCGGGGCCCTGTCCGGACCTTCCTACGGATGCTCTTCCACGACATGGACACCGCCAACTACACATCCGACTCCCTGTCAGACCTACGGCCAACCTATTCCCCATTACCCACCACACCCCGGCCCTCGTCCACCCTCCTTTGGCGGCTCTCTCCCCCCCCCTCCCGGCGGCAACCCCTTTCCCCCCCCTCCCCCCGGCCCCTTCACCCGCCCTCCACCTTTCCCCTCCCCCTCCACCGCCTCGCAATCCAAACCTCCCCCGGCCCTTCGACCCGTCCACTCAGTCCCAACACCAACCGAGTTCAACCCTGGCGACGATCACTACGACACCACCCGCGTCGCGGGGTACGACCTGCCCAAGGTCATAACGCACACCGCGTTTACTCGGCAAATGGGCATCGAGGGACAAGACATCGCTCGCGTCCCCCTCCTCCACCTCATGCACGAACAGTGGAACAGTTGGTGGTTGCGTTACCTCGCCCACGGAGGCGAAGTCCGCATCGTTGTCGCAAAGTCGATGCCGGAATCAGTGTTTGCTGCTGGACTACTCAGCCAAATCCGACAACGGCACCTCGACCTGGACGCCCTCGCCCTCCATGTAGCCACGCAGGAGGGCGCCTCGACCACCAAACCAGCAGCCATGAAGCTACTCACCAGCAAGATCTTCGACTTCCTCATCTCCCTCCGACCCACCACTACGGCCGATCCGGCCTCCGCGGCCACCATACTCCAGCTTCAGCAACAGCTTGCTGACGCACACAACCAACTCGCCCAGCAGGCTTCATCCCCCCCCCTCCCCCCCACACCCACCTCATCCAACAAACGCCCAGCCGATCCATCTCAGGCCTCCCTCCTGGACTTCGGCATGAAGCGACCACGGTTGACTACACCTGACACATCACCGCAGGACGGATCCCCCGCCCTACCCCTGCCCACTCGCATTGCAGACGACTCCCAACCCCCCCCGGCTCCCCCCACCCACGGCGGCAACCCTCCAGCCCCCTCCACCCACGGCGGCACCCCGACCCCTCCCCCCCTCCCCTCCCCACCCACTTGGAAGGAGCCCCGCGACTTGCTCCAACCACCTCCCCACGTTTGCCAATGGCTCACCAGCAACTTCCCACCCGACATTTCCGACACCAAAGTCCAGCGATGGATCACCTCTCAGAAAACCAGCAAAGAGAGCAAGCAAGTCCTAAAAAGCTGGTCCAACGACTGCGCAAAATGGGCAACCACACTGGACTCCGACACCAGAGCCCAACTCGAACGAGCCGCTGTGCTATGGGGCATCCCGGTGCGAACCCTATCAAAACTGGGGTCATCGGCCTTGGGCCGCATCCTGGCCGCTGCGAGTCACTTCTACCAGTGACTCTCAACAGCACACCGACAACGACGCACAGCCAGGCAGCACAAATTTTGGCAACACCACTGCTGCCAATTTCTCACTGTCCTCCGTTTCACTCTTCGGTTCTTCCCAACCGATGACGTCACCGCACGTCATTTTGCTCCTGGCTACTCGCACAGCTTCAGCTACTTGACGTCTGCCATCTCTCCTGTGGTTCCGGCAGACTGAAAGCCCTGCTTACTCGACTTGGCCTGGACAACCCTGCTTCCGATTTCTCTTCTCAGCTTGTCCCTTCAGCGGTTTATCTGAGATTCACCAGCCATCCAAAGTGGCAGACCTTTTTCTACCTCGGAGCCACTCGCACCTCCCTCATGGCACGGGACCACAGCCGACTTCGCAAACTACTCCAAGTTCAGCGACATCATCTGGTCAATGCCGAACTAGCAGTCCGGTGGTGGGCACATTTTGACATTTTCCACCACTACACCTCGGTGCCCATTCACACTGCCGTTCCAGCAACGGACCTATTTGCCACTGAACAGTTCTACATCCAGGAACTGCAACCGTCTCTCAATTTTGGCTTCATCGAGAAACATTTCCGGCCACGCACGGGCTTCACACGCCAATTGGACTTCTCCCAATCCCGGCACATGGGCTTCGCCACCATCTGGCGAAAACGCCGCCGACTACGACTACCCATCGCCCTACAACAGGCCTTCCTGGCCAAGCGCATGAACAACCGCCTGGATTTGTGGCGATTTTTGGGCGATCTTGGCAGCAACACTCTACGACGATTTGATGCCATCCGTTACATACGGAGCAGAGACTTCCCACCCGCCGCTCTCTATGTCCTTCATCGCATAGCCACACACCTGCCTGAACCACACCACCAGGCATGCCTTTCCGCCATTCGATCCAGTTTACGATTCCGGGGCCTCATTCCACCTGGCCCCTCCAGACCGATGCTTGCACCCTTCCTCGCCCATCCTTCTTTCCGATCCCTGCTTTTAACCCAACTTCGCGGGTTTATTCGATCTACCACTCGCAGCGCTTTACCGTTTCACATGGCACAACCACGCATTGTCTTCAAGGCACATCGGAGACTCTCCAGTGCCTTGTTCTCACATCTCCAGGCAGCAAAAACCTGGAGTCTCGGTGAAACGACCTGCACATGCACCGACCTCGCCCAACGACACCCATCCCTCCCGAAGCATGACGGACACCTTCTTTTCTCCGGTGCAGACACCCATGAGCTGTTCGACTCCGACACTGCCCACATGCTATCCGGATCGATGCGCAACTCCTTCTTTCCTCCACGAGGGGTCTTGATGAGTCGCCTGACCCAGGCATTTCAACACTGGGCCAGGACCAACAACCTACCCGCGCTCGACCCATCAACCCTCACTACTATTGTCGAATTCCATTTCGACCTCCACCTTTCACACACATCACAGTACTTTCTTCACGCCCACGTCCAACGGGCTCTGCATACCCTGGAACCCCTTGTCCGCCATTGCGAAGACCATGCGGACTCCCGACTCATGATCTATTGTCCCGTTCTCTACGGCAAGATGTTGGAAGCCACTTTTGCGGACCCTGCCATCTTCGCCCCTCTGCCGGTCCCTGCCATTGAGATCCACCAACGACTACGAGAAACCATTGTCACCAGATTCCGCGGCCGCTATCCTTGGGCCGTGACCGGATTCGGAAGGCCAGCCAACGCCTACATCCTCCCGAAGAGGAAGAAGAACTGGACCACTGCCCGACCCATCATCAGTTTCATTGGCGCCTTCTTCCGACCCATGCTCGACGCTCTCGCCAAGCTCCTCCACAGCATGGTGGCCACGGCTTGCCCTGACGCGTTTTCAGGTGGCGACCTCTTTGAACTCATGCGGTCCTTGCACGAGTTTCTAAGCCTCGGCCACACCCATTTGGACGAAACCAGGACCTTTCCGGGTTTTTTCATGCCCTTGCACGAGTTTCTAAGCCTCGGCCACACCCATTTGGACTACCGAAACCAGGACCTTTCCGGTTTTTTCACCTCCATCGACAAAGACCGCTTCTTAGCAGCCTGGCGACTACTGCTAACCTGGTACCGACAACGACAACCACACTCCTCTACCACACACCTCACAGTGGACACACTTGACACCTCTGCCATCACCCGCGTCTACAACGGACGCCGTCGCCGACACAAACCCACACAACGCACCCTGTGGCTCGACGACATCCCCGAGATCATTCAGGCCACCCTTGACATGCAGATCTTCTCTGTCGGCCTTCGTTCATTCAGGCAAACACGTGGGGCACCGATGGGATCCCCCGCGTCCCCAGCTCTCTGTTTGATGGTGATCGCGGTCGCCGAACAATGTTGGACCAACACTCACATCACATCGGGACTTCGCTCCGTTGAAGATACTCTCCTGCTCCGCTACGTGGACAACAGACTCGTGATCGCAACCCCCAGGTGGCTCTCGACTCCGGCAGCCAACATACTGTGCGACGAACACTTCTATGGAGGAGACATCTTCCTGGAAACAGAAGCCGCCCTGGACTTCTTGGGGTTCCGACTGAACCTCACAAGCAGCACCATCTCCTTCATTCCCTCGCATGAGAAGCACAACATGCTCTCCGTCAAGTCAGCCGCACCAATGATACATAAGGAATCTGGATATTATTCCAGACGCACGCTGATCAGCCGAGTTTCCTTTCCTGAATTTCAGCGAGATCAGGATCTTGCAATGTTGAAGAGGTTGTACCTCCAACACGGTTTCACCTTACAAAGAAAAGAAAAACCGTCCTTTGCGAAACCACACGGGTTTTCTTCTCTGCCTTTGCATCCTGACAGATTTGACCTGATTTTCGTGCCGCAGCTGTTTGACTGTTTGACCAAAATCCGTTGCGAGCATGGATACCAACACAGCACGCCAGCTGCTCCAAGACTTCGAACTCATCCTTGGCATTGCCCAACAAGGCATCGCCACCATCCGCGAGTTCACTGAGAGTCCGACTGCCGAACCTGATTTGGCACCGGAGGCCACGCTCAACCCCGCCATTGAGGACCTGACCAACTCACCACCAACACCCCTCCTGGCCCCCCTCGAGGACCTCTTTGAGCCACCTCCTGATGCTCCAGATGAACACCTTCCCACTGATCATGACGAACAATTCCCTGATCATTGGGCTCCGCCCACTCCTCCTCCGTCTTCTCCCGACAAAAAACGAGCTCGCCGCACACGTGATTTGGCCTCCTCACGATCTACGGCATCCAAACCTGCTCGTGGACCAAGCGAAGCTACCACATCGACCAGGACTGATGCCTCTACTGAGGCCGAACCTGAAGCCTCGCAGCCTTGGACTGAGGGAGAGATTGAACTCCTCCGTTCCCTTAAGACCAATTCCAAAGCCAAGTATGCGTGGTCAGTCATCGCCACAAGACTTTCTCGCACAATTGATGCTTGCAAGACTCAATGGGCCTCGCACAAGTGATGTCGCCCCAGTTGGGGCTCCGTGTGTGTGAAGCGTCCTGGAGCACGGACGGAAATTCCACATTGCAGGGGGACCAGGCGTCTTGCTGCTGACCTGGTCTAACAAAGCTAGGCAGCAAGACGGGATACCGGAATTGGCCATTCCGGCGTACCTGCCATCCTTTCGTGACCTAATGTGTTTCCTCGGTTTACCACTGTTTGCTTCATGTTCGGTTTCGATGATGTGACATTTGCACTGCAGATTGATTTTTTCATGCCCTTTCAGTACAATCGCGTGTCTGCAAGAGCAGCCTCTCGAGATAAGTGTGTGTGTGTGTGTGTGTGTGTGTGTCTGCGTGTGCGTGTGTGTGTGCGTGTGTGTGCGTGTGCGTGTGCGTGTGCGTGTGCGTGTGTGCGTGTGCGTGTGTGCGTGTGTGTGCGCGTGTGCGCGTGCGGGTGTGCGCGTGTGCGCGTGTGTGCGTGTGTGCGTGTGTGCGTGTGTGCGTGTGTGCGTGTGTGCGTGTGTGCGTGCGTGTGCGTGCGTGTGTGCGTGTGTGCGTGTGTGCGTGTGTGCGTGTGTGCGTGTGTGCGTGTGCGTGTGTGCGTGTGTGCGTGTGTGCGTGTGTGCGTGTGTGCGTGTGTGCGTGTGTGCGTGTGTGCGTCTGTGCGTGTGTGTGTGTGTGCGTGTGTGCGTGCGTGTGTGTGTGTGCGTGTGTGCATGTGTGCGTGTGGGCGTGTGGGTGTGTTTGCGTGTGTTTGCGTGTGTTTGCGTGTGTTTGCGTGTGTGCTTGTGTGCGTGTGTGCGTGTGCGTGTGCGTGTGCGTGTGCGTGTGTCTGCGCCATTGCCTGCGCGTGCGTGCGTGCATGCGTGCGTGCGTGCGTGCGTGCGTGCGTGCGTGCGTGCGTGCGTGCGTGCGTGCGTGCGTGTGTGTGTGTGTGCGTGTGTGTGTGTGTGTGTATGTATGTGTGTATGTGTGTGTGTATGTGTGTGTGTATGTGTGTATGTGTGTATGCGTGTATGTGTGTATGTGTGTATGTGTGTATGTGTGTATGTGTGTATGTGTGTATGTGTGTATGTGTGTATGTGTGTATGTGTGTATGTGTCTGTGTCAGAGTGTGTGTGTGTGTGTGTTTTTTGAAGGGCGCCCATGTTGAAAGCAGATGAGTTGTTAGGGGCAATCGAGCAGGACACACGCCAGCTTTTTGCTCCCCAGACCGGCGCATTCATTTTGTTCGAAGGCTTACATTTAACATCGTCCAACACGAGGGTGCCTTTTCCCATACCCACAGCTCCGGGGTTCCCCCTTGTGCCAGCTCAAAGTGGGCTTTGATTTCATGGGTTCCCGTTGTGTCCAATGACCGCGCTTTTCTGATTGCTCTTCTTACTGGTGCCCCTTTTGTGGTTTTGGCCACCAAAATGGTGGTTCTCTTGGTTTTCTTTCAAGACCAAAGAGGGGGCACCCTTGAAAAACAACACACCCACATACCTGACCAGTGTATTCTTGGCGCTCCGTTTGTTTTCCACTCGAGGCGGAAGCTCTGGGGCGCGGGCGAAGGAGAGCGCAGCGTGCTGCGGCTCAGCGGCTCGGCACGGCACGACCAAAAGACGCGGGGCTTCGCTTGGGATGAACCCGGAGGACCGTTGCAATCAGGGCTGGCTCCCCTTTTAGTACTGAAATCATCTGGCGGTGCCATTTTGGGATAGGTGCACCACCCATTTTAGTCTATTTTAGTGGGGATTGGGATGTTCACTGGGGGTACGGGATTTTGACCCATGCCATCTATTTTTTGGGGAGGCCTGCTAACTAGCTAGGCCTCCGGATGAATCCAAAGTTCACATTAGCTGCTCAGTTTCTTGTCTCACCAAGAGACCCTTCGTATATGAACAGGAACTTGTTGTTGTTTTCCTCAGAATGCGAACTTGTCCTGGCTTGCCAAACGTTCAGTTTCTACCTCAAGCTATCACTTTTTTGTCTAGTGCCTTTGGCAGTTTTTGAAGTCCCTCTGCTTGGTGTTTTGCCTTTCGGATGCGGGTCTATAGTTTTCACTGACAGACTTAACAAGCCGTCTTCTTGCTTTTTTGCCTTCTTGTTTCCCATCATTGGCCTTCTTTTCAAAGTAAAGGTTTTGGAGGGTGGACAGAGACTCAATTTCAGAGACATAACCCATGCCTCAAAATCCCTCCCCCCCCCGGCTTGGAACAATCAAAGGGAAACCAACCAGAGTTTGTGGGACCTTTGGATGGGTCTCTAAAATTTGGCTCCCCATCCAGTGTTTGGTTGCCCTTTGCGCGCCCCCCAAAGGTCGCTCACCCCCGAATTTAGCTGATGTTTGGTGTCCTTACCTTTAAAACCAGTCCAGAAAGGGGCTGCATTGATTTTCGGATCAGCCCGGAGTTTGCGCACTGAGGAGTGCTGAGCACGCAAGGCATGGAATTTCAGCCCGGCGCTTATGCCAAGGCTGTCCTTGTGTCAGGGGTCCCTACGTTCTTTCCCCTTTGGTGGTTTCAAACTTCATCCAAGGGTCCGACCACATCCTGCTGGATAGGTGACTTTGGACATATGCTAGGCCCACATGCGATTTTTTTGTGAGACCCCAAGGGGAAAAGGGAGCACCGGCCCTTCTTGCTCGCCTAGGTTTTATGCCTACATGCTCTTTAAGTCCAACTCGGGGGATTTCCAGGAGCTGGGTGGCTCACATGTGTCTCGCAAAGCCCAAGGACCTCCTGTCATAAAAAAGCGGGGATCGTCAGGGGAAGTTCAGGAACGCTGAGCCAGATATGGCCCTGTTCCTCCTTGGGGTGTCAGACAATCCCGGTTTATGTGAGTGGCCCCTGGAACCCCCCCAGTGAGAAGTCATTGGATGGGAATCAACTCATAAACGGTATCAGAAGGATGATTGTTTGCCGTGCTGAAGTTTGCAGGGAAGGTCATCAGCCCTTTCGCAGGGAGGGCAACCAGCAAGCATTGGAAGCTTTTCTGAGGAAATCATGATAACATGCCCCACATTTCAGGGCTTTCTTGAGCATGGCGACTGGTTGGCCATGAATTACAATGGCGACCCCCCAAAACTGGTTGGTGGACCGAAAAACATGTGTTTCTGATGTTCCTGAAAAGCCCCAACTGACATTCACACCCAAACGAAGACATGCACACACACACACTCATGGATAGTGTCCCTTTGATTTCCACCAATTGCGCAGATCAATACAACAAGGCAACCCAGCACATTGGTGGCTTTCCTTTCTGGTCCCTTCTCAACACCCCCCAACAGGGTATCCTCCAAAAAACATCTGTGTACAGGCGCGAAAGGGGGACGGCCTCACCAGAACCGGGAGTTAAGACTGGAGTGCAAATGAACCATCTTTGGAACACTCCCAAACCAATCCAAATCACACATGGAGTGCGTGTTTTTGGAGGGTCCCTTTTCACATCGGTTCAAAAGGGAAACCAAATGGAAAACCACTATTTCCGGGGTCCCCCCTTTTTCAACACCTGTCACATGCCCAATTTGAGAACAACGAACCATTTTGTCCCCAGCTCACGGGGGGCTTGACATGGAGGACCTGGAGGGCCACGTGGAGGAGGTCTTTAAGCTCTTCCCCAGGCGGATTTTGGAGTGAACCTGGCCGTCACCAAGAAAGAACCCTCAGCCAGCTCTTAGCTGAAATGAACCATCCATTTTGTACGAAGTTTTTCTTTGTTGGCAACGGAAGCTCCTGTTTTGGGGTTGGGGAAAGGAGTCCAGATCCAGACAAGCCCAACTGAGATCAATCCACCGCGTAAGGGTTTGTGGAGGACGGTCCCGACTCGAGCCATGTAGAATTAATTAGGGTCCCTTAAGTTTATTGAATAGATAGCCAGTTGAAAAGTCACAGCTCCGGCCGAGCTAGAGGATCCACTGGTCGCCTTCTAATTAAACCAGGTGGTTTTCGGATGTATCCTGTCGAACTGTTTTTGCAGGCAGGCGCCCCTAGCTCCAAACCGACGGCTCAAAATTCTAGCAAGCCCTAAACGTAGCTACGTGGTCTGAGGCTAGGGATGCCGAAGGCAAAAGACGAGTTGCCGGGGTCCCTTGTTTTTTGACACCCAGATGGTGTCCAAAGCTGTTTTTAGTGTTTAGAGTACAACTTGTGGCACAGTAGTATTGGCCTTTGACATCACTGCTCGGCAGTTTTCCTCTCACGCATAAAATAAAGGCATGTGTTTGGGCATGTGTTTGGGGTATGTACCCTTGATTGCCAGTGCATATCTATCTGCGCACTGCTGAACAAATAGTTTGGCTGAGTGAGTATACAAGCAATGTGTTTGGGGTATGCAAGTAGGACAATACCAGTGCTGATCCAAGCCGCGTGTTTCAACAACCTCCTTTCAAATAACCCTTAGTTGATGGTTTGGGTTGGTGGTTTGGGGCATTGAACCCCTGGCTTTTGTAGACTCAGTAGAGGGTAAACGGGAAACAAACCCTTAACCACCACCAATCCAAACCACCAATCAGAGGGAAGCTGATCCTTCTGGTTCCCTTTGATGGGAACCAAGTTGACCCCGCCCCAATGAGTCCGGGCGCCCCAATGAGTTCGGGGACCCACCAGGTCGCCCTATGCCCCCAACGAGCCCTGCACCCCGCGGCCGCTGGACCCGGCGTTCTGCGCCTGTGCCCCTGAGGCGATGGTATCGAACGGTTCTTGTCTTGCTTGTTGGATGTGTTTGGTTTGGTTTGGTTTGGTTGGTTGTTTTTGGTTCGGTCTTGTTTCCTTGCTTGTGCTTACTTGTACAGCGGTCACTGGATTTGCCCAAAGCAACCCCATGATTTCACTGCCACTTTTGGAGGCCCTAGTGACTTTGATTTGCATGTCTCCTGGCGAGTGAAGCGCTCGGAATCCACTTCAGACGTGACAAGTCGCCAATGCACCAAGCCATGTTTTTCCAAGTCAGGTTAGAGCTCAACAGATTGGTCTTCATGCTTGTACCGCGGGAATGCCTTGCTATGCAGGTACCCAGAATTCACCGGCTTTCCAAGCTTGACAGCACTCTATGTTTTTCCTCCCGATGATTGCACAACTTGCTTGTGACCAACGTAGTATCCGTTCTTCCCACATGTTGTTCCCCACCGCAACATTCTGCAATAGCTACTATATGGCTGTGTTTTTTCGGGGACCCCCCCAAATTGGTGGTGTTCCTCTTGCTTTTCCTTTGAAGCAAGGTGAAACAGGTATCCTCACAACCGGCGAGCCACACACATAGGTCACACCTACTTCTCAGCAACCTGCCGACGTAGGCGGAGCTCCGACTGGATGTGAGAGCCTAGGGAGGTGAAGCCGTGAGAATTGGTAGGGTTCGAAGATTTGGGTGTGTCTGTGTTTGGAGTCCGCTGGGGAAGTCAGGAGAATGGCGCCAATGGCGGTAGATGCTCAGAGCGTTCCAAACTGCAGCCATGTGAGAGTCCACTGGGCGATTGGTTCAAACTGGAGGAATGATGACTGCAAAGGTCAGTCAAACGTGGTAGTGGTGCGAGCTTGAGCGAGAAAATGGGCTCGACTCGGATCAAAATATGAGACGTAGTCGAGGTGACACACGGGGCCGATCCCGTTTTTTTGTCAGCTCCCCATGATCTTCCGAGCGGAGATGTTTGTAGTCTTGCTCCAGTACGGATTCCAGACCAAGGATCCCGCGATTTTGGAATTGAGCAACTCAGGTTTCAGCTCTGCTCGGTGGCCAGAGTGAGGAAAGGCATTACCCTCAACTGCTTTAGTTTGTTAGCGTGTCTTGACCAAGCTTTTGGCTCCGTAGACGCTTCCGACTTCCAGTCGCTTCCAACGAGGGTGGCGCACCCACAGATGCTCAGGTCGCTGCAGCCGGGTTTTTGTTTGAATTGGGATTCCCAAGCCTTCCTCTCATGCAAGCATCTTTATCAAAATATGTATCAAACCATGCAACACCACACACACACACACATGCATCAAGCCAAGCACAATCCCACAACCACAAACACCACAGACCTGAGGCGAGGTGCCGCTACATCTTCGGACGAAAAAACAAACACGACGCCTCCGCATTTTTCTCGCGCCGGCCAGAAGCCATGGGCCGAAAGGCCGGGCTTGGACGACTTCCACAGGGCCTGAAAACATGTCTCCAAATTGGAGCTTCAAGTTGAGGCATTATTATCAATTTGGTCGGCCGGGTTAATAAGCCCTGGCCAGGGTTCGCTGATTTGGACCCTCAACCTACTCTTACTTCAACCGACCTCACCCCTAGTTTGGGGTCAAACTTTGGGGCAATAGGCCGTTTCTTTTCCTTTTTAACGGGTCATCTGAGGGTCCAGGTACCGAATGATCACCCACTCATGGACCCCTCCTTGGCTTCTCCAGGGATCCGCCCCCCCGCGTCCCCATCGCCTGAGCGAGGCGAAGGCTGCGAGCAGCGCCAAGGCGCTGGAGCTCTGCGGGGACACCTCGCGCCTAGGGGTCTCCGCGGCGGACGTCTTTGCGCAGTTCGCGAAGCGGGGGGGGGGGGGGGTGGGGGTGATGGGTGGGGACACGTTCGCGTTTTTTTTTGGGGGGAGGGTTGGGGTGTTTTGGGAGGTTTGGTTTGGTTTTCCCTAAGAAACCCAATACCCCAAAAGAAGGTGGTTGCAAAATAGGCTTGAAGAGGGGGGGCGGGGCGTGGGATCGTGGGAAGGAGAGAATGCGTTTTGTTTCCCAACAGGCTGAGCTTTTGAGGGCGTTGGGCAGTTGGACATATTTTGTTTTTGCGGGGTGGAGGGGGGGGAGTGGGTTGTGGAGATCAGTTGTTGTTTTTCTGAAAGGGCGATGGCTTGAGACTTGAGAGCCGTTTTTGGACCCATGCCCTGCAGGGTACAAAGGAGGAATCGCAAAGGGCCAAAAGCCTCCATCGGCCAGTTGGGAGGTTCTACTATACCTTGTTTGCCAGGGCAATTAACAAGTGGGGCAGAAATATGTGCGTCTTTCAACACAGGCCTACCCCGAAACGGTTGATTTTCCTGCTGGTTTTCCATGAACTACCAATGAAAAGGGGGTCCAAAATCCATTGCGCACAGGGAAGACGTGAGATTTCTCCGCAGGCCCGTGAACTCTGCGGAGGATGCCCAGTGCGCCGCGCTGGAAGATGCAGAGGTTGGGAGAGGTTTTTGTCGTGTTGCGAGTCGCGAGTGTTTGCCTCCGGCTAGTTGTGGTTCCTCTTGTATTGCGCTGGATTTGTACACAAACTGGCATTGAGTTTTTGTTTTCTCTGTTTTTTATTTTTTTTTATTTTTTTATTTTTTTAACAATCAAAATTCACAAGCACAAATTTGGGTTGGGTTTGTTAAAACAAATAAAACACAAAACACATCCCAGTGTTTTTCCCCAACAGCCGATTGGGATACCTGGGCGATTTGAGCCGGAGTTGCCAAATCTCAACCGGTTTCTCCTGAGTGGACCTGGCCTTTTGGGTCTAAACTGGGCTGTTCAAAGGTAATCCTTCAATCCGTACCTGGGGTTATGCAAGGGGTCCCCTTTGTAGTGGCTTCCCTTTGTAGTGGCTTTCCTTTGGGGATTATGGATTAGGATTGGCCAACCCTCCATTTTGAACAGCCCAGCTAAACGTCTGGCTGGTTTTGAGGGGAACACCTCAGCCAAGCATCCGGATCAAAAGCTGTGCGAACCCCTCGGCGCGCTAAAGGGAAGCCTGGCCGCTGCGAAACCGGCGAGGTGTCTATGGCCCTGCAAGGCCTGCAGAAGAAGGACCCGAGAAAACCCTTTTGAACGGTTTCGAGGGGCGTTCTTTTGCGGACTTGCAGGCATGTCTCAGAAGTGGGGCAGGTTCACGTGGAAACTCTTTGGGACATGAATGTACATGTCCTCCATGAGATGCCGTTTGAGAATCCTTTCCATTCAGGAGTCTCAGCATGATAGCAGCGACACCTTGTCGTTGCCTTGAAGCATTGCCCCACTCATCGCTCATCCAAACACCAAGACGGGCAGAATCATAGGCCAGCAAAATGGCTCGCTAACCAACCAAAAGCTCACCAAGGTATCCGCCGCATCAAATGCGCCCAACAAGAAAACACATCCTCCAATCCTCCCTCACCTTTTCGTGAAATGTGAGATTGTTCGGTCCCCGGTGTCCCTATCACGTAATCCTCAATTGGTGGATGGCGGATTTGGGTTGAGGTCAACCGCGCTCCAAACTGATCAGAACAAATCATCAGGATTGCCCTTTTTGATTTCAGTTTCCTCTTCGGGGAATGCCACACTTGCCCCACAAAAGGGGTCAAATGCCTGGTCGATGTTTTGATCGCCCATTGAAGGCTCAGGGGAAGATTGGGAAATCAGACAGTCCTGGATAACTTTTACTCATTTGTTTTCCGAGGGAAACCAAAGGAACTCACACCTGGGGGTGACCCCATTGAGACAGAACCAGTCAGTGCAACCCAAATTGACCCCACAGGACCAGGGTTGGGGCCACGTTCTTCAATCTTGACACCCCTAACTCTTTTTTGCCTCATAGGTATCCCCGCCTTTAATCCCCATCTTTAATCCCCCGACCTTCCTCTTTACGGCCAGAGTCAAGCTGAAACAAATGGATGTGGCTCAAAAGTTAAGAGATTTCCGGAGGACCACAGGCTTTAGGCTACTGTTTTCCATTTCTTTATGGCTACTTGTCAACAGATCTTTGGACTTTATCTTTTTTGGGAGAAACAGTTCAGATTTTCGACTGATACTCGTCGAATTGTGCATGCTGGAACCACAAACAGCTACACTTCTTGTAGAGGGGACGACGTCAGCCAAGATTTACCAGGGTTCCATTTTGGGCCAGGGTTAGAATAGATCGCTTCCACGTTTGGATGGGGTTTTCTTCCGTTTTCCGTGGGAACCGTCTTCTTTTGTTTCCAACAGGTCACCTATGCTTGGCCCAACCCAACACCCTCAGGACCCCACCACCCGGCTCCGCAACGTGGGGGAGTTGCGGGAGCTCCTTGCCGCGAGATCGCCCCACTTGGGGGAGATCTGTGCCCGGCTCCCACTCAAGGGTCGGTGTGTCACCTGGGGGTTGGGGTAAGGAATTCTAGGGGTTGATTCCAATTCCATTCTTTTCAGCCATCGTTCTTTCCAAAAACCTGATCCGTTTGCTGTGGGTATGCGGAGGCTTTATGAAAAGAAGGATCCCTGGAAAGACTGGGGAAGGTACCCCGAGAGGAATGTCGACTTCTTCTAGTGAACCCCCCTCTGGTATCAAGCAGGGCGCCCTTTTAGCGGATTCCGGTTGCTTCCAGGAGGACCCCCCTGATGAATAAATTTGGGGTTTCAGCCCACAACCCTGCCGCCCGGGCAATTGCGCGCGCTATTTCACAAGTAAGATTCGACACCATTTCGTAAGGCGCTTTGAGGCCGTGGAAGAGTCCGCCTTGGTCGAAACCCGTCGGTGTTTTGGGACGTCGCTCTCGCGACTTCCCGCTGAGGTTCCTTTCTTGCACATCTACCGCCGTCTCTGGCCTCAGGACAGGGCTAGTGGCTAGCGCGACGATGGAAGACAGGCGTAGGGGTGCGTGTCTGCGCACGTGGCCTTTGGACTCCTTGTCAGGACCCGGCAAACCGGTAGTTCTTCATTTCATGTTTTAAAGATATCCTGATTTCAATGAGGACTCTCAAAGGCGTGGGGCATAACTCCCCATGCGAATGATGTCCGCTAGGACTCCGAGCCGCGTGTGCGGGAGGGCCTCCAGAGGTGCCTCCAGGCTTGCAAGATGTGAGACGCAAGCAGACAGCAGACCCATCTCAGGCCTCTTGTACAGAGGAACCAAAAGGAGGTTGTTTCACCACACATTTGTTAAACACACTAGTTGGGTTTGGTCCTTTGGTGGTTGCAGCCGTGGTTTGGTTTGGTGGTTTGATGCATTTTAAACCATGCTTTGGTTTGGTTTCTTGACTCTTTAACCCCAGGTTTGGTTTTGGCGGTTTGGTAGTTGAAACCCGTGGTTTCAGCAAGGGGCCCACGCCAGGTCTTGGTGGAATCGATGCAGCGGGACTTTGCCAAGCACCTGCGCACCGCAAGGGTCGCCCAGTTGGAGGGTCTGATTTCGGTTTGCGTGGAGTATCCATTGGGCAAGTCTATTTGGGTGATTCCCAGGGAAATCACCAATAATGCAAAGCAACAGCTCCACAGCCTCACCGGAGCTCAGGGAATTGGAGGGAGCCTCCCCTGGCGTTTCTTCAACGGGTAAGTGGAGATCCGCCGTTCGTGAATTCCTGAGGTTCTGGGTAGACCATTTTGATACCCATCGGTTTTGATTCTGCCCCATTGGGGCCAACACAACTTAGGGTCCGTAGAGCGATCACGTGGTTGGCGAACCTGCGACTGAGGCGTTTCCTACGTGGCTGTGTGCTTTCTGGCCGCATTCAGCTGTGCCTTCTCCGTTTTGAGGATGTGGCCAACGGACATCGTGGGGTTTTGGTTTGCCGTCGATTTGAAGTTGAATGGGGGCCTAAACCAAAGTGTTGGTTTAGGACCAATGCGAACCCCAGATGAAGGTTCCCTTTATTGGGTTCCCCCCAATGGTGGGTTGATCCAAAAAATTCCCCGGGGTGTGGAGAGTGCCATCCATCGAGAGCTGAGGCCATGTTTGCCAGGGCCTTGGGGTGCCCGCCTGTCAGGCAACCAGCTCCGGGAAGTACAAGTTAGCCAACGTGTGTGAATTTTGAGGTTGGACCCCCCCACAAAAGAAGAGAAGTGGCTTTCCTTTTGGTTTCTTTAAGCAACAAGAGCACAAAATTGGGGGTACCCTCAAAAGACGCCCATAGAGTTTGGGTGCCTCCTGTTGACAAAAAACCGGCAGGGAGTTCTCCGTCCTTTGTCTCAGGATACCCACGCGGAAGTGTGCGGCTCAGGACTCGCGTTTCGCCAGCGAGTCTGGTGCTACAGCTTAAAGGGCAGGATACGCGGGGTAAGTGGTGAGTATCCATAGGCAAACAACCCACCAAATCCATTGTTGCAAGGCCATTGAGTGTGTCCTAACCATGGTGGCTCAGTATCCACTTTCCAAGTACCCTATTCCCCTTTAAGGTAGGCTGGGATCATTGCTTCGTTTTTTTTTGGGGGGGGGGGTGGGGGAATATTCGGAGGCCAGACTTGGAATATGCCCCATGAGTCCACCCATGCTGGTCCCAAAGCCCCAAACATTTTTGGAATCTTTTTGGAATCGGAGCCCCAAAATGGCCAAATGGTTTTCCGTTTGGTTTCAAACCCTTTAAAACCCACAAAAAATGGGGTGTACCAACTCAAGGAGAACCACACCCATTTGTCCAGAAACATTGGAAGTGCCTGTTGACAGCGGGTGATCCACGACCCACAATGGAGTCTGAATTAAACCAAACATAGGGGGGCTCGCCCCACAAGTCGTTTTGAAGGTACCCTGTACCCTTTTCAAATTTGTTTTGCAAGGGAAACCACCGAACCGCTCATGTGTGGGGTCCCATCCAACAAGGAAGCCGCCCCCTTTTCGGGGGTGAAACCAATCAGGGGTTTGCACACATTCAACCGGGTTTCCGTGACCTCTGAAATCACCCGCTAAGCTGAAGGATGCCTTGGTGCCTGATGCGTAGGCCCTTGAAGCAATCTTTGGTGCATTTTGCTTGGATGTTAGCAACCGAGTAATGACCGTCTTCCGACGCCTTCTCCGGGCGCGACTGGGCGCGTCCCAAACCCCGCGATTTTTTTGCGCGGTGAGGTGGCGCAGGCGGCCCGGAGCGCCTTTCTGGTCACTTTCTCCACGGACGAGAAGCGCCGCGGCGCCGGGAATGCCCAGAGCCAGCGGGGAGGGGGGGTCGCAAAAACTTGGATGTTCCGCACATGGGGCCGTTTTTTTTTTGGTTGAGGGCAGAAGAATTACCCTTGTTTTTCTTTGGTTTTACAGGGCAGCCGACCAGTTTCACAAGGTCCAACCAAAAAGACGACACGGCCATATTTGTTCGATTGATTGCAAAGAACTGCATTTCCTGTGGAAATGGGCTTCCTGGGGTTTTTGACGGGAGCACGGCCATGGTCCACGCTGCCCCAAGCTCTTTGCAGAGAAACCCATGTTGACGCCGGATGAGTTTCCTGGTATGAGGGGCATACGAATCACAAGGGATCTCATACATTGTATATATATATATATATGTTTAGAGCAAGAGAGATGGAGAGACAGAGAGAGAGAGAGAGAGAGAGAGATAAAGAGAGAGAGAGAGAGAGAGAGAGATAGAGAGAGAGAGCGGGCCGCCATGGGGGCCTGTATACACGCACGCATAGGTGAGATATTATATACCAGAAGTGATACGCCTGCTTGATCAGAAGAGAGTAGAAAAGTGATCCGGATGTCCTCTCAAATGGGGCACTCCGTTGCAAATCGACTACAGGTTTATGAATGCTGGTTTGGTGTGCCCTCGCGTTAGAGGTACTTTTTCTGAGTTGTTGCTTTGAATTGGTTTCCCCCCTGCTGCCTTGGGGTTGCTTGTAATTTCCTGTGGTTTCCCATGTTTCTCCCGCCTTGTGGCTTCCGTTTAGAGCCACGGGAGGCGAATCTTGGAAAGGGTTCTATTCCAACCTTGGCAAAGGGTTTTGCTCCCAAAAGGTTTTCAATAGCTTTGTGGGGTCAGGGGGTAGACCTTCGTAGGCAGGGTGGCAGAACCAAAGGTCAACGTGTTTTGAGCGCGGCTTCCCCTGCCCCGGCCAAGGGTAAATGGAAAGGACAAGCACACGATACTGGGGGCGCCAAAATTGAGGGACGATTGTGTTTAGAGGGAAGCCACACAGATTCCACCACAATAGTCTAACTCCTTGGCCTTTGTACTTGGGCAACTCCTGCGTTTTTTGCAGCAGAACCAGAGTTGGGTCGGGGGCCCTGTTTTTCCACCCCAAACCTGTTTGGGCGGCCCTCACAAAAATGGAGGTCAAAAAACAGGCTTAGGCTTGGACAAAAGAACGGTCCCCTCTGCTTTCCCGTTGGTTTACTCTCAAGGCCAATCAAGTGTCCCCCTCCAAAAGAGAGAGAGAGAGAGAGAGACACCCAATTCGAAACACGGCCTGTTGCTTTTTGAGTAGTATTTAGGGCCAATTTGGTTGTGAAGTACCCCCTTCTCCACCCCCCCATTCCAGTTGTTTAGGCACATATATAACATATATATATATATATATATGTAGATACACACATAGGTCTAACACATATATACAGATTATATGTTTATACACATGGGTATCTATAAATGTATATATATATATACACATACACAGACATTCGGTGTGTCGCTGAGGTTTTCCGGCACTCCCAGAAGGAGTGCCTGGCGCTACTGAGTTCGAACCTCCGACATAGCGAGCAGCTGCGGGCCCAGAGGACCAGAGGATTCCGGGCCAAAATCGTGTGGGGATCTACCAAGATTGTCTGTCTGTCTGTCTGTGTGTTTGTTTGTGGGAGGGAGGGGGCAAGGAAAAAAAGAGAGCCTCTCTTGGTTGAGGTTCAAAGGACCCCGAGCATCTTGGGGGTGAAGGGGGCTGCCTTGGTTTTGAGACAAACCCAAATTGACTAGGAAGGTTTATGCAGGCCTCGCCAGAAAACCTATGAAGGCCACCAAGGGTTCAGGCGACGCTCGTGTGATCTGAACCCTACGTAGGATCCAACAGCTCCTTGGAAACACATGGTTTCCCAAGCAAGGCCTTGTTAAGGGCTGCCACATTTTGAGGAAACCTGGAAGGGGGGGGGGCTATGTGAGGGTGGGGTTAAGCATGGAAGCTCCCACGCCTTTAAACGCCTGCTGCCATTCACGGCGGGTTTTGGAGCTTCCATTGTCCGGGCATGTGCCCCTTATAAAGGGTTCGGCCAGCCGAATTCACTCAGAAGGTTTCCTTGCATTGGTGACTTCTTGCAATGGTGCCACAGAGGATGTTTTTCCGCCCGTGTCTTCTGTGGAAACGACTCCGTTCGGGGGCGTTTTGAAAGGAAGTCAAAGGAAGAACCCTTGCCGGGATCCCATATCCCAATGTAGAACACACCGATGAAACAGGAATCCCATTTTTACGGGGTATCCGGCCTCCACATTAACGGGAACCACGCCCCCAAAACCACTGCGGCAGATGAATTGTCGACCGGCTGAAACCCTTCTCAGGGACTCACAGATTCTTTTGGTTCAACGCTCACAATCTACTGGTGTGTTCCAATGAAGTTGCCACTTTTGGAGGTCCAATGGAAATAGAGTGACCGCTGGTTTTCCAGCTTTGGCCTGTAGGTAACCCCTTTGCCATGTTCCGTTCAGTTTTCAAAGGGACGTTACCTTGCTTAATATCATTCTGTATTTGAAAGCAGATTCCTACAATCATGACAAAAAAAAGAGTTTGTACTCAACGAACTCAACGGCCTGATGGTACCTACTCTCCGGGGAACATGCGCGCCACTTAGGTCCCTGCATGACGAGCTGGGCATCGTCCAAATCCCGGACAAGGACACCGCGCTGGAGCGCCCGAAGCCTCAAAGGGCTGTGGCTCACAACCAATGGGATCCCATTTTGGGGTAGGTGCACCACCCATTTTACTCTATTTTAGTGGGGATTGGGATGTTCACTGGGGGTGCGGGATTTTGACCCATGGCCAAAGTGCGAAGGATTGGAAGATGGTTGAGGAAGAGATGGACATCCTAAAGGCTTTTGGGACTGGGATGTTCTTGATGGATGCATACCCGTCCGATAAAAGGGGTTGGGGTGTTGTTCTGGGGGGGTTGCTGGGATGTTCTTGGAGGGGGGTTGATGGGATGGATGCATACCCGTCCGGTACAAGGGGTTGGGGTGTTGTTCTTGGGGGAGGGGGGTTGCTGGGATGTTGCCGGGCTCCAAAAGTAAGCATGCTGGGTTCTCAACATTCCTTGGGTGACAGAACTGTTTAGAGGGTGAATTGAAAGATGTCACTTTCATGGACCGAGGAGAATAGCATTCTAGTTTACAGCCATCACAGTTCCTGCCGAAACTTGGGCGGTGCTGGCGGTGAAGCATGTAATCTATTCGATATGTGGGAACCTGGTATGTTCAGCAACTAGTACTGTAACCCTGAGCCCGATGTAACCACCGGTGTCGTTTGCGAGACCCGCCAGCACGGCCATAGCAAGGTCTCAGACTAGATCTGAACCCCTGGTTCTTGTAGAAATGGAAAACTACCCTGTACCACCAAACAACCGGGAAGCTGATCAAAGGCTTGGGCGCCTTTCTTTGTTGACGAGTTTGCTGCTCGCATCTCTCAGGCCAGGATCGGTATGCGCGTGTGGTTGCAGCGTCTCTCAGCGCTCTTGGAGAGTTAGTGCGCCGTGGAGACGCCTCGGGTTCTGCTTTTGAGCCGACTCGCAAGGAGCACGCAGCCCACCTTTGTGTCACTGTTCTTGGCAAGGTGTTTGTTGTTTTTTGGGTTCTGTTTATTTTTCCTTTTCGTTGTTTGTGTGATTTAGTAGGGGGCTGCAAGAAAAGCACAGTTGGCTACCATACCAAGGATTGTGAAGTTTGACTAGGCCACAAAGGATTGGCCATGATCTTCCCGTAACGCCCCTTGGAAATTGTGCTTGCCACTGGCACCTGACCCCGGATCTAAGCAGAGGCGGTTTTGTTCAGGGAGTCTGTGTTTATGTGAAGGATTGCCTGCAGAATGGGACACTCCTCTTCTGACTGTTGACACCGGCAGTCGTAACCCATCGAGTCATCCAACCGCTGGCTGTCCACTTACTCATGGGGAACACCGGACTCCAAATGGCTGGACATGAATGCCCAGGAAGACGTTTGCAAAGGTCTGCCCAAGATTCATGCCACATGGACCGGGGGGGCTATGGGGAGGGGGGGCTATCCCTTATTAAGCCCTTAATAAGGCCTTATTAAGGGCTTATCCTTGGGTTATCCTGGGCTCATCCAGGGATGGTCCTCCGCCCCCCCCATAGCCCCCCCGAAGATTCCATGAATACCCAAATGCCAGTGGCAGGTACATGTCTGCAGTGCCCCGCACACGGATGCATCCGGCAATCCGCGGCACGGTTTGAAGAGAGAGGAGGGAGTGCGGTTGTTCTGAACGCCACTGGTGTTTGGGGTGACTGGAGATTGCAGAAAGTAATGTGAAATTCAAATATATCTGGAGGACCCTACTAGTCAGAGGACGCCCATGCAAAGGATCGTGTCCTTACCAACAAATACCAAAAGGGCAAACAGCCCTGAGTGCAGTCCTCCGGATTAACCCGAAGTTATCATGAACGACAATACTGGCCTTCGCAGCAATGGCTTGGACCTCGGCTTTTGACCATCGATGCACATCCGACTCGAAGAGCATGTGGCTTGTTCCGGACTGCGGATGAATGGTTGTACTTGACCAACTGATCCAACAATCAGTTGGGTGACCCGTTGCAGGGGTAGCACATGGAATCTGCTGGGTGCTGAACACACACACACACAATGTCCAATACTGATTCAGAACCATAGCAAGGGGAGCCATAGGAAGATGTTGCTCTTTGTGATCCGTAGTGGCCCCCAACGGTCAGCAAAAAGCACAGGTCACAGGTAGGTTGCTATGGCTCATACTATGGCTCATACTATGGCTCCAAAATCAGCAATGCGACAAGTGATGGAGCCCGTTTTTGGGACCGTTGGGCGGTCCCTGAGACAGGCCCTTGTTGCACTTTTCACCCCCCAAAAAACAAGGCACGAAGAAAGGCAGAAAGAAGCTGGCTCCCTCAAAGTGGACAGGAGAACTCCTACATCGGATGAGTTTTAATTTTTGGCTTCCCTGCAACACAAACAAAACGGCAGGGTTGTTCTGAGCTTTATGGTAGCATCTTAAAGAAAGGGACGGGGGACAAGAACTGGACCCTATGGATGGTCGACCGGTTCCCTTATCTTCCCCTCAAGTCCAGATAGAAGCAAGGGGGCAGAACTCAACTTGATTGAGCCAATTCGGCGACAGGCGAGCAGCTTCCTTTGGAAGCTCCTAAAAGGTAGAAGGGGGGGGGTACCGCGAGAAGCAGTTCGGCCATGGAGCAGTTGGTCTCCATGGGCTTCGCGCCGGCGCTGGCCAAGCAAGCCTTGCTCCTGTGCGGAAACAGCGTCGAGGCTGCAGCGGACGCTCGGAGACGAGGGCAGGGGAGCTTTTCTGGTGAATTGCGGGGTGTCTTCGTTTGAGAGTACACGTTTTGTGTTGGTTTAGAGGGAAACCAAAGGAAAACGACGGGAAACCCCTATTTTGAGACAGACCCAATTGTGTGTGTGTGCCTGTGTGTGTGTGTGTGTGTGTTTCTGTTGAGGGAGTTATTTGTGGAAACCAAGGGGACTCGCGGTATTCATTGGGAACCCCGGATTTGGCAAGCATCTGGTAAACCGGGTGTCCCATTTAAGACGGAAACCAGGTTTCGATTAATCAGTAATCCGTTGTTGTTCTCCCGGTGTTTGCTAGCTGGAGCGCTCATATTGAAACAACCAGCCACATACACATTCGCCAACTTTTTGCTTGACACAACCATGAACAACATGGATGTAAGTTTTAATCGGGAACCTCTTCAAAGTGGTTTATGAAATACCATGTCATTGTTTGGGCGGCTTGCTGCCGCTGAAAGGGTTCCGAAGAAAACCCATGGCAACATGAGATCTGGGAGTTCTGACCATTGAAAAGCAGGCGCTTGGAGGCCCAGGCGCCTTGACAGAGGTCCCCACCGAGCGACTTTTGGGATTCCCCCAAAAGGGGAAAACCCCGCCTGTTGAAAATATAAGACAAACAATAATTGATAAAAATGTGTTGTTTACAAGTGTCGCTTGTCCTTTTTATCCTTGAATTGTCTCCCAACCGTTTGCCCCACCATGATGTGGGATGACTCGTGGCATCCCCATCTTGACTTCCCCTAACCATTTTACTCCAAGCGTGGTGCTTGACCTGGGCATGTCATTTCGTCAAGGACCTGCTCTTGACGAACCCCCCGCCCCTCCCCGATGGCGACGGCATCGACGGGCTGCAAGAGCTGCTGGCAATGGGCTTCCCAGAGGACTTGGGAAGCGGCTGACAGGTTAGGTAGGCCTAATAAGACGAGTCCATTTGGGCCTTTTTTCCAGGGCAATAGATGGCATAATTCCTGCAAACAAAGGGGAGAACTGAAACATGCGTGAATTGTATGTACTATCAGGTTATCCCAAAAGTACACCCTAAGGTGGTTCAGGTACTTGGACACCTTGCGGCAAAACATCCTCAAAGAGACTCGGACCCCTTGCGATACATTTTGCCAGGGCTTCTTGAAGATACAATTTGGTCCATTTTTCAACATTCCTCACAAGCTGTTCCATTCTTCCCACCCATTGTTCCGTTCAACGGTTGTGCGAAAGCCCCCTCAACGGTACAACAGACAACACGCGTCCTAAACGGGCTTTCACAAATGGATTCCCTTTGGATGCCAGAATCACAGGTCCTTTGGTGCAAGTTTTCTAGAACACGTGTATTCTAGGGGTAACTTCCATTTCCATTCTTTCCAGGGATCCTTCTTTCTAGAAAACCACCATTCAAGCCCTGAAGAAATGGCGATCGGTTTTTGAAAAGAAGGATGGCCGAAAAGAATGGAAAAGGAATCAACCCCTAGATTTTAGACTTATTGGAGCCTGTTGAACGGATCCTCCGGCGCGTCCCGGAGGATCGGGCCAAAGAAGCCCTGGACCGCCACGGGAATTTAGCCGATGCTGCGGAGGCCCTGAGCGATGCCGCGTTTTCGGCGGCCGTGGAGGCGGAGGCGGCGGCGGAAAGGGTACGTGTGTGTGTGTGTGTGTGTGTGTGTGTGTGTGTGTGTGCAACCTTTGTGTTTAGGGCATCTTTTTTTCTTGGGGGTTGTCGTGTCCATGGTTTCTGCGGGTGGTGGGGAAGAGGTGCGTGTCGTTTTGTTGAGTTGGAACCGTTGCGACCCGCCCCCCCATCCGCCCGCTCGCCCGCCCACCGGCCCACCACCCACCAGCCCAGTTTTGATGGAACCTTCGGGGAAGTGATGCATTTGGAGGAAAAAAACATCAAGTACGAAAGTGACCAAAGTGGACTTTCAGGTTCCTTAAGACTCTTCAGATTCAATGTGGACAATTCTGGTACATTCTTGAGTGGCCAACAAGATCCCTATTCCCAAGTGAGACAGAAGTCATAGGAATGAGACACCACCAAAATACCCCGGATGTTCAGCAGTTTTTCGAAATGAATGATCCCGGAACAGAATGGACGTTACCCCCTAGAACCATGCCGGAAGGCGTCGGCGCCTGTCGTTGCGCCGGCTGTCGCAGCACCCGTTGCGGCGCCCGTCGCGGAGCCCGTCGCGGCGCCTGTCGCGGCAAGGTCTTCGGCGCCAGCCGCGGTGCCAGATTCTGCAGATCGCGCCATCGAGCGTCCAGCAAAGCGGCGCTTCGATCTGCCACATCCAGCTTTTCACCTTTGAATTTCCCGTGTCGCATGTTTCGCCAAGGTTTCAACATGTCCCCTTTCCAAACCTTTCCAACAATCACGTGCACCTCTATGTTTGGAAAATGGTGAGCCCCGTTCTTTCCCAGGTTCAAATGAAAGTGTGGTCGGTTTGCGCCATTGTCAGTCAAGGTTGAACCCTTTTGGTTCCTTCTTGATAGCCTTTGTAGTCTCACATGTTCATTCATTGAGTTACTTTTTGTTCATGTTAGTCATGTGACTATGTAGCGGTAAATTTTACCCTCCCACCAATCAACCTGGAACCTGACGTTCAGGGGGTCCTGGACCATTTTCCCGTGAAAGGGACCGGCTCCCAAACGTCAAGTTCCATGTTTGGTGGGCCCGAACAGGTTTCGGCTGTAAAAAGAGATGGGAGGGCATTGCTGTTAGTTCATGTTCGTCATGCGCTTGTTTCGTCCTACCAATTTTATTTCACACTTTGGCCTGGACCATTTTCCCTTTTCCTTTTAGTGGGACCCCCCAGCCCCCCCCAAACAGGTTTCCACGTCGAAAAAATAACAATCCGCCGGGCGCGGCTCCGGTCGTGGGTTCCTTTCGCCCCGTGGCTCGTCGAGGCGCCGGGCCGAGCCCTCGGAGCTCGGCGTCGAGGCGCGGGCCGCGGGCCTGGGCTTCGGCGCGGAGGCCTTTGGGCCGCTGGCGCGGCCCCGCGCCGCGGCGAACGCTGCGGGGGCGGGGGAGGACTTGACGCGGAAGGTGGCCAAGATGCTCGGCTGAAGGGCGGGAAAGGCGGTGGGTGGTGCTTTTTGTGGGGGGGGGGGGGGGGGAAATGGTTGGGGTTGGGGTTGGGGGGGGGCTTTTTGGGACATGTTCGGTGAGTTGCAAGGAATTATGTTCTAAAGTGATAAAGTCGGAAGGGGAATCAAGCACTTTGGTATCACAGAAAACGATCTTCTGGATCACGGAAAAGGGGTATGTGGTGCTCACAGGGAAATTCAACATAATCTCGACATCTTCCCATTACTTGCTGGTTCTCAGCAGGGAATGAGGGAATGATCCCCATAAACCATCCGTTGTGGTTTTCCTTAAGGCAATCCCCAAACAAGCACCTGGAAGGGTCATTCCCTACCTATTGCACCAGCAAGTTTCCTTTTTTTCCTCTTAAATCCACAAAAAGAGGGGTACCAACTCAAAAAAAGAAAAACCCGCCAGCAAGTTTTGTTGGGGTGGGCCGGAATCCACTTCGGGGGGACCTGACGGCCTTGCGCTTTCGCTGTTTTCGGTCGGAGGATGGTCCTCGCCTCCGTGCCTGGGGTGGCGGAGATGCGGGGCGAGCGGGGCCAAGTGAAAGTCACCGCGATGCTCTCCAGGTGCGGCTGAAAAAGCAATCCATGGGATGCTTCTTGCATGGCAGTGGGTCAAACATAGGTACCTAAAAGGGAACCCTGGTGAGGGGGAAAATGGACCAACACCTGTGGTTTTTTGGTGGTTTAATTTTGACCCACACCCGTATATGGAACGTGACACAAAGAGGTCCCGGATTATTTGGTGGACATCGTTCAGGTCGGGGATTCATGTCCACCAGTCACTTTGGAGGTG